TCTTGATTAATTATGAAGAGCTTTCAGTAGTTGGTAGACTGTTTAAGTAAGGATATATTAAGGAAAATATATGAAGTATATATATCTTATTTCTAGGAATGTGCCCTTTCTCTTCTTCCTCTTTGTTTTAGCGTGATGAACCCTAATTTCCCTTTTTCTTTTGACTGAAAATGGGAAAACCCTAATTTAAGTCGTGATCATATATATCTAATGTGAAACTCAGGTTTGGTTAAGATGCTGTTTCTTATTACCCTGAATGTAATTTAATGTGTAATCATGGGTTTTGGAAGTAACTGATGTGACTTCATGAATCATCTTATGCTAGCTATAGAATTTTTTAAAAAATATTCCGTTTCTATACGGGATCTGTTGTTATCATTGACGAAAACTATGGAAGTGAAAAATGGTATTATGAAAAGATAGTCAAACTCAAAGCAAAAAAAATAAATATAATTTATAAGTAAATTTACATATTTTTGAAGGTAAATTAATTAGAATATAAGAAGCTGGGGCTGGGGATTCGAAATTAAAATATTGTGGCAATAAAAACACATGGTTATGCTAAGAAAAATGTGAAAACAAAGGGGAAAAGGATGGTAGATTTGAGTGATTATAAATTTATACATAAAAATATTTATGGAGTTACTGCAGATAAGTTATCTGTATTTACTCCCAAAACGATGTCGTTTTGATTTTAAAATATTAAAAAATTAAATTATAAAGACTATATATTATAACCTGAAATAAATTAAAATTATAAAAATATCTTGATTTTCATCCCAAAACGACATCATTTTGGGCTAACTTATCTGCATTTACTCCAGAAAAAACGAATCCAAATTTATAATAGGGAAACTTAAAATTGTCAGTGAAATCAATTAATTTGAAGTAGATAAAACTAGAAACAGTGTTCTTTTAATTTTACATGATATATAAACTTTGATTTTGATCCTTCAAAAGATACAAATTTTGTCCTTTAAATCTAAATATTTTCAAATCAATGTTATTTTTTACATATTCATTTTAATGTATTTATGATTGTAGGACAAAATGGATATTAACTTAATTTTATGTGCAGTAAATATTTTAAAGAGTAACAGGAAGATAATCACTTAGATATAAAAATAAAAATAAAAAAGTTTTATAATAGTTCTCATTGGTAATTATCAATACTTTAGTCCTTCTGATTTAAACAATTATATATGCAGAGAAAAAAATCGCATGAAATTGTTATTAATTAACTTGGGTTTATAAGCATGCAGGTAAGAAATTAACCCATTAACAGATTAACTTATGAGTTTTCATGCAGGTCAGATGTCAATCACGTACGTATGAGATCTGTTGCCAACAACTAATATTAAGAGCGCGTTTGTTTCCTGTTATTTAAAAAGTAACTTTTATATCTTCTTTAATTTAAAAATATTTGTTATAAAAGTTAAAACTATTTATATTTTTATAAAAATATTTAGTTTTTGAAAAAAATATTTAACTTTTGACCTTTGTTTTTTTTAGAAGTTAAAACTTTTAACTTCTAAAAAAAATAAGTTTTTGACTTTTTTAGTGACTTATATTTTTTTTAAACCAACATCCAAGCGCGCTAAAAATGAGAAGTTTTTTTTTTTTTTTTTTAAAAAAAAAGTAGCTTTTGGAGAAAAAAAAGTCCATCCAAACAAACCCTAAAATAGCTATCATTTAATGGGTTGATATCAAAAAAATATTTTAATACATTGAAAAATGATTATCATTTGAATCTTAGCATAGCTGCATAAAACAACTTCATACACAGTTATATTAATGCATGGAAAACCATTAACCACATGTAACTTTGGTTGATAATTTGGTAGAAACTGTGATTAATCTAGTATTAATTCAATTATTTGTATAATTGTATTGCTATATCTATAGCAGACAATTAAATAACCTTTTTACGAAGAAATGATTTGTTTGACATTTAGGAGCTCAAAATCTGAATTTAAAAATAAATTAACATATCTGGACAATTTATCAAATTCAATTCTCTCAAATTAATCTGTCAAATCGATCCAAGATGCCTTCTTCACCAAAAAATTAAATATATATATATCGAAGGAGAAATGAGATTTTCGTACTCCTTCCAATTAGTATGACTAAACGTAAGGGCTGAATTCTAGCTTAAAAAAATTGATGAAATTAATATTTCTCGTATTGTACGAGATAATAATTTTATCTTATATAATAAAAGAAATATTAATTTTAATATTTATTTACATTTTAAAAATCCCTTCCATTTTAAATATAAACCTTATACTTTAAAATTGTTTTACTATTTTAAAAATCAATGGGTTGATGCGATTAATATCCTGTAAGTATTGTTTTGGCCTAGTTGGTGCTGAGGTTAGGTAAACATTATCAAAACATTTAAAATAATTATCACGATGTTTGATTCATGACCAGTCTCATACCTATACAAGCTCTTTTTCTCACCAAAGTCATGTGAATGAATATCCGGACTTGACTTATCCCAGAGGGGTCATTGAATCAAAAAAAAAAAAAAAAAAATTGAAAAAATGAAAAAAAATCTCAATGCATGCTACACTTGGTTAGCGGTGTATGCTCTAAGAATTATGTATTTTCCCTCTTAAACCTTGAGGAGAGATTAGTCTTACCAAACCTTTAGTTTAATACATTATTTGTTCTAATAAGGAATTAATTCTACGCCATATTTTAAGGGCAAGGTGATTGAAGGTGGTTGAGTGAGAAACTGAGAATACTTCATGGGTTTAAAAAAATTTAAAATAAAGTTGAATATTTTTTTAGACCAACACTTATTATTTAATATGAAAAAAGAAACTAGAACTTTTTTTTTTTACATAAAAGGAGAAAACAATTGTACTTAATATTTTTTTTTATGTTATCTATCAGTTCGTCGATTATTCGACTAGCGAGTAGAATCACATCGGCGATAAAAAAATTTCTATTAAATTTTAACATAACTATATTTTCGAGAATTCAAATTTAAGATCATTGCTCAAGTTAAAACAACCAGTGGTCCATGTGCTTGATAGTATTATACTTAATACTTTTAACATAGGAGAATAAACATCTCCCTAAATAAATTAGAAAAAATACTCATAAAAATTACATAAAAACTCTCGATAAGAAACCTATATTATAGACGAAGACCTCATCCTCAAATAATTATCCACACTGCTCCAACAACACAATAAAGATGAGAGAAAATCGCTTCCCTCATCATGCATATTGACAACCACTTTCAGCAATTTTTTAGTCTCCCTCCTTTTTCCTAAAGTCTTAGTCTTATTTTTAATTTTTCTAAAATAAAAAAGTGACTTTATATAAAAAGTTAATACTTTTTTTGAGTTTTCTTAAGGTATCCCCTACCTGATAGCCGAAGACTAATCCTTTAGAGGCGAAGAGATCATCGAAGTGAGTTTTGCCTCTGCCAACAAAATTTTTTTCATACACACGGCCAGAGATCGGATCCTTATCAACATGCTCAAGAAATCCAGCCATCACCTATATTAAAAGTTTATATTTTTAATTTTGTGGAAAATAGAATTAGAATAATCATAGAGTCAGTCATAGGCATCTTTAGCAGCAAAGACGATAAGTATAGGTGTTATATTATGCCCTCATTCTAATTCCATTCAGTTTCATATGTCATTCAAAACACTATTAATGACCAGCTTACCTATCTGCATTTTCTTTTTTTTGCCTACAATACCATAGCTACTAAAAACTCCAAGAAAGTTGCATTTACAATAGCTTGTAAATCACAATTTGCCATCTCTGTGGGGGATCATGACTCATGAGGAGCAGTTGCACACACCCTCTCTATGTCAACGGAATCTCTTGTGCAGGGAAATAGAAACACTACATTTTTAGCCATTCCAAGCAATGAAATAGTTAATGCAGTATTTCCCGTAAAACTCTCTTTCTTTCAAGGAGTGTACCCTTCTGTCTCGACAACTTAGGTTTAAATCTTGGGCTAGCTTTATCAACAACAACAAAAATCAATTAATTTCTCTACATATACCAAGCAAATATAGATGTGCATCCTTAAAATGTTGGACAGGGAATTAGTCTATGTTAAGACAAAAATTAGCACAAAAAATATTCCTACATAAACATATCGTAAAATTCTCATGTTTTAAATAATACATAGAGTATGTCATATTTATAAACTTTTTTGTTTACAAATTCTTACAAATTACAGTATTTTCTCTCTCGGGAGAATACTAGTTACACACTATCTTTTTCCGAGAGAAGATAGTGTAATTTATAATTCTTCCCCATAATATATATATATATATATATATATATATATATATATATATATATATATATATATATAGGAGGGATCTTTTGACTCCAGCGTAAGATTTGAAAGTCTTATTCTCTATCTTAGCATAGCAGCTGATTTTCATCCATTTAACGGAGTCAAAAAATCTCTCTTATATATATAAATTTTAATTATTGATTTTCATCAATTGACGATTATAATTTATTAAAGTTACTAATTAATTAATAAGTGGGACTGCATAAATTATAATTGTCAAGCTGATAAAAATCAACTGTTAGAACTTAGTGTCAAATTTTTTTAGTTTGATTCTAGTGTCAAATGATAGTGCTGTATTATATATAACTATAAGGAAAAAATGTGTATCATTGTAAATGAGGTAAAATTATGTCGTTTTAAGAGAGAGAAAAAGATAATTAAACGAGAAGAGAAAGTTGATAAAAGAATAAAAATATGAATCTCACTTTTGTGTGTGAGAGTGAAATAACATGTGATTTAAAAAGATAAACACTAATTATATTCGGTGCATGCCTCTGTAACATTTAATTTGGTTTGGTAACGCTTATAAGAAAGATAGCCGTTATCCAACGATGCCTTCTTCGAATATTCAAAAAAATACAAATCCTCTCTCACTCACAGTCTCACTCTAAAACTCCAATAACTAAAGGAGCTTCTTCGTCTTCTTCTTCTTCTTTGTTCAATGGCTGGTATTGCCATGGCAGATAAGAATAACAACAATCCAGAAGAAGAAGAAGAAGAAGAGGAGGAGGAGAGAATCCCAGTGTTGACGGTGCTGAAGAACAACGCAATAATCAAGAACATTTTCATCATCAACAACAATAAGAAAGAGGACACCATCGTGGTTGGGAGACACCCAGATTGCAACATTGTGTTGACACACCCCAGCGTAAGCCGCTTCCACCTCAAGATTCGCTCTGCGCCCTCTTCAAGAACCCTTTCCCTCCTCGATTTATCTTCTGGTATGTGTGTAATCTTTTGAACTCAACTAAACGAATCGTTTTTGTTTTCTTTCTTTGAATCTTGATTCTGTGTGGTGTGGTGCAGTGCACGGGACATGGGTGTGTGGGAGGAAGCTTGAGCCCGGGGTGAGTGTTGACCTCAAAGAAGGTGACACCTTCACGGTTGGGGTTTCCACTAGGCTTTATCGTTTGCGTTGGGTTCCTCTTTCTCTTGTGCCCCAAGAAAAAGAACAAGCAGAGATAGTCAAGGTGGGTTCTTTTTACTTTTATTTTAATTTTAATTTTGTCCATAAGGTGTTTGTGACATTGTTTGTGCTTTTACTTTCATTTCATTTTTTCCCCCTTTCTTTTGGAATTTTTTTTTTTTTTTTTTTTGATAACATGGAATTTTGGGAATAACATAGGATGCTGAATTTTTTTGAATTGAAATAGTTTTTAAGGGATACAAAAGTTTGGTTATTTATTCAGGGTGTTTGTTAAGTATTGTTTAATGTTGTTATCTTTGATTTTTCTCCCTTTTGGGTGAAATTGGATCCGTGGGGTGGAGTGTAACAATTATTTGCTACAGGATGAGAATTTTGAACTCAAAGTGGAAAAAGAGATTCCCATGCCGGAAGATATTATTTCTTTTTGTTGTGATGAAGAAAGGAAGAGTCAGTCCAAAGATGAAACATTTGGAGTTCTGAATGGCTCTTTCGGAACTGCAACATCACATTTTCCTACAAACTCTGACAGTGAAAATAAACAGAGTGGATGTGGATTCCTGGGTCTATCTCCACCTTATGTACAATCAGTTGATGAAGTTGATAACAAACCTAAAATTGAAGCTTGTCCTGAAGTAGAGATGCCCGGAGAAACTAATTTGTTTTGCACTTTGAGGGAATATTTGACACAGAACATATGTCTGGCGGTTGTGGAAGCAGTCCAGGGGACCAAAATGGAGAAATTCCAAGGCCCGCCCGCGTCTTTTGATGAAAATGGTGCTGCTGCAGGGGCTGTAATACCTAAAGAATCCGAATTTGGATGCACAGTCAAAGATAATGACAAGATTGAAGATCTTTTAACTGGAGCAAGAATTTTGAATACTGAGAATTTGTGTTTGCTAGTTGGCGAAGATATTCCTGATTCTAAATTTCATCAAATCAAAATTGTTGAAGATTCTTCTGTGGTAATACCTAAAGAATCCGAATTTGGATGCACAGTCAAAGATAATGACAAGATTGAAGATCTTTTAACTGGAGCAAGAATTTTGAATACTGAGAATTTGTGTTTGCTAGTTGGCGAAGATATTCCTGATTCTAAATTTCATCAAATCAAAATTGTTGAAGATTCTTCTGTGGTAATACCAAGAATCCGAATTTGGATGCACAGTCAAAGATAATGACAAGATTGAAGATCTTTTAACTGGAGCAAGAATTTTGAATACTGAGAATTTGTGTTTGCTAGTTGGCGAAGATATTCCTGATTCTAAATTTCATCAAATCAAAATTGTTGAAGATTCTTCTGTGGATGCACTGTCTGATGGAGAAAAACAAGATAAATGCAGCGAAGAGTACAAGTCAAAGTTGCACGACCTGAATGCTAAATCTTGCAATGAGCAAGGGTACTCACTGGACGAGATAGTTGAAGATATTGGAAACAAATGCATTAAAAATATGGATCCTGCATCTTTTGATGAAAATGGTGCAGGTGCTGCGACTGATATACCTAAAGAATCTGAATTTGGATGCACACTCAGAGATAATGACAGGATTGAAGATATTTTAACAAGTGAAGGAAGAATGGTCAATTCTGAGAACACATCTTTGCTAGATGAGGAAGCTGTTCCTGAAACCAAATTTCAACAAGTCAAGATTGTTAGTGAAGTTGCTGTGGACTCAAAGTCTGATGATGAAAAACAAGATAAACGTGGCAAGGAATTGGAGTCAGAGTTGCAGGCAAACCTGAATGCTAAATCCTGTCATGAACAAGGTAACACACTGGATGAAATAGTTGAAGATACTAGAAACAAGTGTGCAAGCAGCATCTGCCCAATATCATTTCGGGTAGAATCACTGAATTCTTCAACGTCTCAGGAATCTGTTTTAAATATTACAAACGAGAAAGAGAACCAGACCATGCAATCTCTCATTGCTGTGGCAGGATGCTCTGAGACGGTAATCCTTGAAAGTCATGTAGAAGCAACAGAGAAGGCTAAATCTTGTCATGAGCAAGGGCACTCACCAGATGAAATAGTTCAAGATATTGGAAACGAGTGCACAGGTAGCACCTGTCCGATATTACTTCAAGTAGAATCAGTGAATTCTTCAGTGCCTCAGGAATCTGTTTTGGACATTACAAAAGAGATCGAGAACCAGACCCCACAATCACTCATTGCTGTAACAGGATGCTCTGAGACGGAAATCATTGAAAGCCGTGTAGAAGCAAAAGAGAAAAGTTCAACCTCTGGTAATAATTTGTCAAGAAGAGGTAAGGCTGCTAGTGCTCCTCAGGTTCGAACCAGAAAGAGTAGATTTATGAGCACATCTAATGCTGACACTGAAGTTGAAATGGGTGCTGTGAGGGATATCATAAATAAATCAACCACAAAGGATCTTTTTTCTTTTTTGGATGGAAAAGAAGATATATTCGCTCCAAATAAGGAAAACTTTAGTCCAAATACCTTACACTTGCGGTTTATGAGAAAGAAAGGTAAGCTAGAAGAAATTAAACATTCCAAGTCACAATGGTCACACAATTCGAAGGCTAATTTTAGTCCCGGCATCTATCCAGCTGAAAGCCTGATTGCTTCAAACAGAGTGAACAAGACTCCAAAAGTAGCCCAAGAGTTGAAGCCGCAAAGGAAGCCTCTCCAATGTCATACAAACTTGGCTCATGAGCAAGATATTATGGAATTAAAAAAGAACAGAGTGGAAAGGGTACCCTTCCAATCACTAATGAACTCTGGAGGCAATTGCAAATCAAAGACTTCTGGTCCTGTTTCTGCTGCAAAAAGCATTGATGATGCAAATAATTGTGGACAGATTTCTGACAACCGCACTAAACCTTCTGTAAGACATAACATATATATCATTCTTATTGTGAATGCTTCAAGAGTTCGTTTAGCATATATGCTTACATCTGTTTTGTTTGCAGCATATTATTGGAGAGCAAAAGAGGAGCTGGGACATGGTTGTAGACACTGCTTCGCTTCTGAACAAGGAATCAAGGAAAGCTTTGCAGCTTCTACAAGGTCTCAAGGGGACTCGTTTAATCATTCCAAGTTTGGGTAATGAGTTTTAGATCATTATATGCCTTTGTCATCTACTTTGTTTGAAATGTAGTGCTGTTGTTTCTCACAAAAAGGGTTCTCACTGACCCTTTGCAATGTCAGTCTTAAGGGAACTGGGCAATATGAAGCAACAATTTAGAATTTTTAGAAGAACTTCAGAGGCTTCTTTGGCGTTGGAATGGATTGAAGAATGCATGGAGAACACAAAATGGTGGATTCATATCCAATGCTCAAAGGAGGAATGCATGCTGATTGAAGAGAGTTGGGCTTTTCCTGGTCCAAAGAGCTCAAAGGAATTTGCTTCACGGACAGTTGAAGATCACATCCTTGAATGTGCTCTTCAACATAGAAGAAAGGAGAATGTTGGACAACTTGTCCTGCTTAGTGATGATGTCACTTTGAAAATCAAATCCATGGCAAAGGTACTTTACTTCCTTCCTCTTTGTTAACTATCTCATAGTAAACTGTCACTCTCTCATTTTCCAAAGTCTTGAAGCTCTCTTTAATTGGTGCAGGGGTTGCTATGTGAGACAGTGCAGAGATTTCGCCAAAGTCTAGTGAACCCCTTCTCTGAGAGGTTCATGTGGGTCAACAGCTCTCCTCGAGGACTGACTTGGTCTTTCCAAGATGATGCAGTTTTAAGGGAGAAATATTGTGGTATGCCAGCAAAGGCTGGTCTGAAGCTTATCCCTCAACAGTTTTTGTACTTTCATGTTTAATTTCTTAAACACCCTTCACTAAATTGTTTCATTTTTCAATTTTCAAACTTACTCTTAAACTCCTATTCTCCTTTCAAACCTCCCTGCATCCAATGGGGAGGGGACAACTTCACGGGTGATCTATGGCAGTGGATATTGATCAACTAAATGTTTGTTTGTTTCATTATACTTTCTAAAAAATAATATTTTTCTTTGCAGAAATTCTTTTAAAAATTAAAAAAAAAAACTTGTTTTTCAAAAATAAATCAATTTAAATACTCAATGAAACAGAGATAAATAGACATAGAGAATAACTTGAATACTACAAGTTTTATTAAGGGATTTCAATATAAACTTTTTTTTTTCAAGAATTAATGTCACATTAGTGAAATATCCTGGGGTAAAAAAGTTGTGATATACCCCATATTGTTTCTTTTAGCTATTCTATTTTTTTTTACTTGATTTAAATATTCAAGCTCTTGAATAAAAGTATTATTCTTTTAACATTTGATTTTTAAAAACAACTGACATTATGCATCATGTTGATTCCAAAGTTTTTTTCAGGGCCATTTTTTGATGGTAAGCTAGTAGAAAAAGCATTGTTACGATGGGAAATATTACTCTCCTTTTATATAAGATAACTTCTCTCTTACTCTCTCACTTCGATTTTCGTACCTCACTTTTTTTTTTTCTTGTAATAATAGGACATACTCATTTTCTCTCTACAACATCTATCTTATGTAAAAGGAGAATAATAAAACCCTGTTATGACATATAAGAATTACAAGACTGATGCATAATTTTGAACGGAAATCTTTGTCGGCCTTGTGATCCTTTTCAGTTAAACCAGATTATTCGATTCTTTTCAGCTAAACCAGATTATTCGATTAATAGATAAACCAATAGAGAAATCTAAAAAAATAAAAGTGTACAAGACCTCTACGCCGTATTCCATCAACATAAGCAACAATAGACAGCATTTTCCTCAACGTTGCTCTAGTGTTTAGTGTGATTTGCAACGAAGGATAACCGTTTTGATTGATGGAAATCAACGGTTAAGATATGGTTGTAAAAGGTTCTAAACAAAAATAGGTTGTAAGTATAATCTTCTCCATAAAAAATAACAAAGAAATGCAATGAAATTAATAAAAAAAGTAAAATCTAATATAATTTTCTCAATCAGTAAAACATAATATAATTTTTAACAAACATTCAAAATTACTAAACAACAGCTTTTCACATATCTAATGGGTAAAAAATTATCTTCTTCATTTGGTATCAAAGCTATGCATATATGATTATAAGACTCAGTTTTTTTAATTATAAAAATAATTCTAAATTTGCATATAGAACCTAAAGTTCATGATAAAATTTCGTTTTGAATTTTTTGCAATTGATCATGAAAACCTTAGGGTTTTTGGAATTTTCTAACCATATATCATATGCATATTTTCATTGAATATTCTAAGAAAATTTCGAATATGAAATTTTGGGTTTAATTACATGAAAATTTAGAAAATTTCTCAAAAAATTTTCAATCGATACATTGAAACCTTAAATTGCTTTGGGACTTTTGGAAACAAGCTTTTAGTTATCTATTGACACAAAAATTGTTTGAAATCGTTTCGTATAGTGAAGGAATTTGGTTCATGAATGCATTGTTACGAAATATAGGTTCATATTATGAAAATTTCAATCTTTCTTTAAATTTATATTGTTTCATTGATGTAAAACGAAAATTGGATTCAGGGTTTTAGTTCCCTTGTTATTTTTTCACTGTTTTATGTTATTTTTAATACAAAAATCACACATTTTTGTGCCAAGAAAAACCGCGACCCATAGCTTGAAAAATCACTTTTTAAACTTTCAAAATTTCTCAAAAATGGCTAAAAAATGTTACTTTTGTGATAGATTATATTAAAATATCATTGGTTTGTGGTTTCTGGGTTGTTTTGTGATGAAAATAAATCAAAAATATGTTTTTTTTTTTTGTTTTGAAGAAGCTCCCATGACGGAACCCAATTTCGAGCAATCAACTTGCCAAAGGAAGAAAAAAACATTGCAATAGAAGAATCTTAAGAAATCCTAGGGGTTGGGGGTGAGATTGCCCTATTTATATTTTTCACTAAAAAGTCTCACGAAATTCACACCAATAGAAAATCCATTAAAATCGTCGGATTTTTGAATACCACGAGATTGTGATTCCATTGTTTAAAATCCTGATTGAATATCAATGGATTTGGACGGATTCTAAACTAATCCTTTAAAATCCTAATCGAATACCACGTGACTTTTTTTCAATACATTAAAATCCTAATCGAATACCAACGAATTTTTTTGTCCTAAAACAATCTATTAAAATCCTTTGAAATCTCAATCCAATACACCCCCCTTAAATTAACTTAGTTCAGAATTACTTTTTTTTTTCTTTTTAAAATAAATTTGAATTTTTTTTTCCCAAAAATAACTGATACTATAAAAACAGTTAATTTTTTAATATGAAGAGATGGCGAGTACCTGATATTATCTTTTTACAAATATAACAGAAACAAAATGTTTATTCCTTAATCAGGGGATAAAGAAGAAACAAAAGATATTATGGAGGGTAACATCATAACAAATAGTCACTACAGATTGTCAGAACTTGATTCACCTCCACATTTAGAAGCATGATTAAACGATCCAGACATAAGAAAAGAGAAAGAACCTTCTGAGTCTTCAAAGGGAGGTTGGGAGAATTCATTAAACCCACCAAAGTTACAGCCTTCAAAGTTCAAGGATGAGAAATAATTGATAGGATCATCAATATTACCTTTCACATCATTGATATTTTGAACTCCATTTTCACTTAAAGGATTTGATCCAAAACAGAAGTTCATACTTCCTACCTTACTGTTGTTGGTTCCTTTTTTTTCAAGATCATGCGTCTCAGCCAGTCCTTTAGTGTCATCCAAAGGAATGGCTGGTGTATGGCCTTGGAAAAGAGCAATGTGTCCAAAAAGCTTGTCTTTCCTTGAAAATGTTGTGCCACATGAACAAATCCATTTATCCTTACCACAGTGTTTCTCATGAGTTTTAAGATCTGCCATGACTGAAAACTTCTTGGTGTTGCATCTGCTGCAAATGTAGCTCTTGTCACAGTGTGTTCTTTTGTAGTGGTTTTTGACACATAAGATAGTCTTTAGAGGTTGAAACTTCTTGTGATCCTTGTTACGCTTGCAGCCAGAATAGGGGCAGGAATACCTCTTGATAAGTGTTGGTTCAGACCCAGCTTCTTTATGTGGTTTTGCAAGAGCTGCCGGAGTTTTGTACTCATCACCGTGGCCTCGCATGTGCATCCGGAGATTTGCATCCCTCTTGAATCCCTTCCCACATATTGTACAGAAATGTGTATGAGGTGCAAGGATTTCTTCTTTTTCCAATTGTAAAATCTCATAGGAACCAGGTGGAAGGTTCTCTCCCTCATCCACATCTTCTTCATCTTTTGCTTCATGTTCTTCCATATTGTAGTTTTGCTCCATTTCACAATTATTAGGCTGATCATTATGTGTGGACTGATCAAACAATTTGTTTCCACTATTATTTTGTGGCCGAATACCACTACTCGAGCCTGATCCAAAAGGAAGATTCATCCCGCGAAGCTGGCCAAGCTGTCCAGCCAATGGATTCGCGTTTGAAAGGGTGTGTCTAACAGAAGGGAGAAGACTACCTGCAGTAGAGATCAATTGAATAATAATTGATGTAAGATCAGCTGTGATGAGCTGCTGTTCCCGAGTCACGAGCTCATGAGGTTGTCCAAAAGGTTGGCACTTTTTATTAACAATCAAATGCACTAGTTCCTGGAGCTGATGAATCTTTTCTTCGAGGAAGGAAAGGTTATTCAACATCATATTGGGATCCCAATCTTCGATTTTATTGGCTTGTGATGAGTCATTCAATGGAACATTTTCTTGATCAGGGATCTTAATATCTTTGTTAGATTCACCGCGAAGCAAAGACTGGGTTGGAGAGGGTTGGTTGAATTCTTTGAAAGGTGCTTCAATCCTCACCCCATAGAAAGACGGAGGATCTGAGGACAAATTCGTCTGTAATCCATTCCCAGGAGAGGTTAAGGAAGAGGACCTTGCCCAGTTGTTACATAAGCTTCCTTTTCGATCCATTTTAAACTCTTTATGAGGAATCAAGATCCCTACCAATCAAAGGTACACTTGTGTAAAGAACAGGTGATGTACATCAAATATTTTATAAAAAATTAACAAAAGAAAATATCATATCGGATTCGATTATTTACTAAAGATCAAACTAGATGCGACCACTAAAAGGATCTAAATCAACATGATGATGGGAAAAAAACATGTAGATGATCCCCACTAGAAGGAATATACATTCAATATAGGTGTCCATGCGAATACAAATATCACATACCATAAGATTGACAATCGGTATAAAAAAAATTCATGAAATCAAAATTTCTCTAGCAAATCAATTAACTTTAGATGGCTACATGGCTAATTAGCTAGTAAAAGCCAAGGCTTCAATTTACTCAATACCTACACAGTAGTCTCAACTCTCAAGATCAACCTATTCTTCACTTCAGGTACTTCAGATCCAACTGGATCCAAATTCTGAAATTTCCCCCTCCCAACAAATATTCAAACCATCGTACAATCAGAACAAAGCAAAACCCTCAACCCATCACCCTTCAGTTCTATATGAAGCTGCATATTCTAATGCCCCATTTATAGATACTCAATAATTAAATCTCTTACAGGGAGAACTTAATAGTTACATACCTAAAGATTTCCCAACCCATCCACTCTCACCTCTTGCTCTTTCCAATCATTAACTACCCTAAATCCCAACATATCAAAATTGGCTGCAACTAAATACCAATTCAGATTTTGACCCAAGAACAGTAGGAGAAAAAAAAAAAAGGCAATTCAGAGAAAACCCATCAAAAGATTCAATAAGCCATTCAAGGCACAAATATAAAAAATGAAAAAAAAAGGGACAAGGGGCAGAAAAAGGAGCATGTTTTTCTGACCAAACCCTAGAACTCAAAGCATCAACAGAAATATATAGAATAAACTAAATCATGGAATGAAAGAACTTACAGTCACAGATTCAAAACTCAAAGGTTGCTCTAACAATATGAAAACTCCATTTCTCTGAGAGAGAAAAAAAAAATAATACGAGAAAAAAAAAATATGGGATGAGAAAGAAAACATAGGAACTGAAGTGAGTCTTATATAAGCAATCTCCGTTTACCTAGAAGCTTAACTCTTAACTATGTTCTGTTGTAAACACGGTGGAACCATATTTGGTCAACCCCACTATTACTGCCGTCCATCTGTGGGGTCAATGTTGTTTACCCCAAAAGGGACCCACACTGTGGGTCCATTTCTTATCAACTTATTTCCGCATCCATCAATCTCAACCGTTGGTTGGCTTTGATCGTGGTGTTAGATGATTGGAAGATCAATGAGATGGACAAGATAGAGAAAAGACAAAAAGTGTTGAGTTATGTTTTGAGATGAAAAGGCCAAAGGGTCCCACATAACCCACCTAGGATGATGATTCTCTGAAGTTTGGTTTTTCTATAAACATGCATGCATATGCAAATTTGACTTGGATTTTAAAAATAGACAATGTTTAATGGGGTGAGTTGGTGGAGGGGGGGGTTCTTGTGGGGGTGAGTGAAACTGGTGAAAGGGTGTGTGACCTTTCCCAGGAAGCTACGCTCCCTACAAGTAAAGGATTGGTGCTCCTTTTCATGTACTAAGCTTCCAAGTTCATGCCTTAATGACCTTGAAAAAAAACATGGTAACACGTGTATTGGACTTTGAAAAGTGTAAAACTGATAATTGTTGATAAGAAAATTACAATTTTATAAAATTAAATACAAGTAGTTGAGTAAAAAATTATAAACTTGTCTCTATTTTATTTTATTTTTCGTTAGTGATATTACTTTCCACTTTTTTTTCACATGCATTTTTTGTTATTAAATATTCAGTTTGTAAGATTATACGTGATACAGAAAAATGAGAGATACACTCGCATACGCTTATTATGACGGAATTAGAATATAGGAGTCAAAAAAATGAGATGATTCAGCTATAATTGGATAGTGAAAACAACGAAAATTTGAAGTGACGCGTGTATAAATGTATACGTAACATTGTTACGAGAGAGAGAGAGAGTAGTTTAAGAGTAAAAGTGAATGCGTGATGTGTGATTAGGTTCAGATACACGACTTTAAATTCTAGCATTGTTGCAATGAATTTCTTAGGTGTAAACACAGCACTCTTTTGAATATGCTTTTCTAGATATTTGTGATTCTGTGAAGCTATTCCACCAAATTCTTGTGGTGATGTAGTATAAAATAGATTTTGCTTCTTCTTTTTCATCTTCATCTTTTGTCTTTTAAAAAAAAAATCTTTGACATGTGCGTATAGTGCATATAAGTGTAGAACACAACCTTACTTAACTTAGTTACACTTTTAATATCTCTTTTGACTGAATGCCTTAAGGTTTAATTTTATTTTAAGAAGTAATAATTGAGATTAGGATCTACTATGTATTAAAAAAATATAATTTTGTTGCTACTCCATACACATGTTAAAAAAAATGTTTTATATGTGGATTATACAAAAATTATTTTCAAAACTGGAAGTAACTTTTGAAATTATATTGGGGTTTATTGAAAGACTTGCGCGAAATTTTCATTTCTTCTTGTGGTGATATATTGTGAAATAAATTTGAAATACTTCTCTAATAAAATTTGACTTAATACAGATTTGTGATTTATTTTATAATAAATGAATTATTTTTGCATTCAACTTTGACTCGCTAATGGTATGAGTTTTTTTTTTTTTTTTTTTTTTAGTTTGATCCATTGCTTTGGATGAGAAATAGAAGTAACAAATTTTGAAAAGTCTACACATAGGACCCATTAGCCAGCTGGTATGAGTCCCTCAACTTCCTTCTTTCTTTGAAATTTCCTCTCCACTACTTGGAACTCTCCAATAACTACAATTTTATTTGTATACATTACTGGCTACTCATACAAATTAGTTCATCATGTCATATCCATATTACTTTAGCAATATTACCCCCCCCCCCCCCCCCCCCCCAAAAAAATATATATATAAATGAAGATAGATTATTAATGCCCAAAGTATATGAGCCTTTGAAAGACTAAGCTTTTGAAAAAAAAAATATCGGTACAATTAATATTTGGAACTTGGGGTAGGATTCTTTGACATTGGTGTCAAATTTTAAAATTTAACTTCAAATTCTATCTGTTGATTTTTGCCAATCAACAGTTATTATTTATTGGGAATTAATTTTAATCAGTGAATTTGATTCCTAATGAGTGATAAGTGTTGATTGGCGAAAATTAAAGATTAGAATTTAATGTCAAATTTCAAATTATCCCTTGCAACTTATACATTGAATCCATTGTTCCAGCTAATAGCAAGCTGTCACATTCTGAAAGATCTATTTTTTGTCTTCTTCAAGCTTGTTGAAGTGTGTTGATCGATCTCCATTATATAAACAATAATAAACCGTCGCATGCTCGTGCCTTGATTTGTAAAAGCCAATCAAATCGTTTTCTTATTTTTGGAGATAGAGATTGGAATTGAAGAATGAGGCCGAGAAGTCGCGGCAATAGTAGAACTCCAAGTAAAGTTGTATCTTTCTAGGACAGAACGAAGTGACATAATTTATTGTTTCTTGTAAATTATTTTAGGTTTTGTGTTTCTCCACATAAAATAAAATTATTTTCTGCAACACAAAATTAAGAATCTTAGGATTTAAAAAAAATTAAAGACATTTTTAAAAAATTCATGTTACTAGATAAAAATAAAATTATCAAAATACCGGTTATCTTTTTCTCTAAAAAATATTATTATGAGATTGCAGTAGATATTAGTCTGTTTTAGTTAACAAAATTCAAACATCCTTTAGGGTTTTTCTTAAATAGGCTAAGTCTGATCTGATATGTTAGCCTTAAACAAAAATATTAACCTAGATCTATTAGTCTGTTTAAGCAATTAGATATTTAATAATTAAAATAATAATTTTATTTATTTTATTTAAAATAAATAATATAATATAAGCTGACCTATAGGTTTTATAGATCCTACCTTTAAAAGAAAGTCTATAACTTACTTTCTAAATAGTTTTTTTTTTTAAAAACCGAGCCTGATCTTTTTTACTGTATGTAATAGGTCAAATTTAATCTGATATAAGTTAAATTATAGGCACCTATTAAGCTACCGACTCATTTACACCCTACGCTAGACTTTTCCCCTTTGTTTTTAGCAAGTATACCCATACCCTGTAACCATATTCTAGTAGTACAAAATGGAGAATGGAGGCCCCGATCCAGAACATAGCCATCAATGATTTCGAGAAAAATGATTTAAGCAATGACGAAATGAGAGGATCACTTTAACAATGCATGATAATGACCATTTATAAAAGAAAAAGAAAAAAAAAAGGAAAAGAGAATTTTCACACGTGAATACCCCATCAGCACCAAAGTAGAGTCTTTTCTAATCCATTTGAGAATTGACCACTGACCCTCATTTCAACCATTCCCAGCAATGGTCTACCTCAACTACATCAAACCAACCAAAATTTCTTCGAACACAACCAAGTGACTCATTAAAAACTGTGTATTTAAGTGTGCCATATTCATAGTGTTATTTGATGCAATGGTATTCATTTCTCTTTTGATTTGATAGGAACCCCTTTGTACATTTGAACACGATCCTTCAAAGCATCTCTTCTAGGCCTAGCCATCTTGTTGTTAGGATCAAATAGTAGAACTTCTTCAAATGCTTTCAGAGCAAGGTTCAATTCTTTTTTATTCTCATAGGCATCACCAAGATTGTTCCATGCTGTGACATATCCTGGTTGAAGCTTTACAGCTGTCTCAAACTGAGCAATTCCTTTGTCAATCTTCCCATCACGGATATAGCTGACACCAAGAGCATTGTAAACCTATATTCATGGATTGGATGTCATCATTACCAAACTAGTTGTTAACAAGTCATATCACAAGAGGCCCATAATGATAGAATTGTATAACTATAATCCAACAGCATAGTGATGCTATCATTCTCCCATTTTCAAGGTAAATTCAAAATTCACCAATATATAATTTAATTTGTTAAGAGGGCGAGCCTTGGAGCAGCAGTAAGGTTGTTCCTTGTGATCGAGAGGTTACGGGTTCGAGTTTGGAAAACAGACTCTTTGCAAAAATACAAAGGTAAAGTTGCAAACAATAAACCCTCACCTCTATATCCTTGCAAGTTGAGGAGTCTTGTTCGCCGGGGTTTGCCCATTTTATAATTTAATTTATTAGCAATCAAACAATTATATATCAAATACATCTAACCTGGGCAAGATCCTGATTATCTCCGTCCCATTTCTCAATTGCTTGAAGCAAGAATTTGGTAGCAGCTGGGTAAAATTTCCTCCTTAACATCACTGCACCAAGTTCAAAAAGCTCGGTTGCACTTGCATCACCACTTCTTACTTGCTCCTGAGATAGTGGAAGAAAATTAGAAAGGAAAAAGGATCATAAAACAACTCTTTTGTATAATCTTTATTATGGTACCGACGACCAAACCAGAAAAAAGAAATAATCACATATGGTCTGATATGTTTCAGGTACGCTAATACCATATGTTTTGTTCATGAGAAACATTTATTAATCCAAAGGACCAAAAGGAAGAGGCATAGGCTCTTACTTGCAACTCTTTGGCAGAAAGGTCAAGTTCTCTGCGGACAAGAACTTGGCGAATCACAAAGTAAGTCCCAACACCCAGCAAACCCAATAACAATAGCACATATAATAGTTGGATCCCAAAATCAAACAACTCTCCAATCTCATATATCTCATTTATCTTCACTGAGTTGCTTGCGTATGAAACATCAGGAGTAATCATTGATATAGTTTGTCCTAACAAGAATGCTGAAACCCATTTGGATGACCTTCCCTCATCTTCAAGATCCTCGGCTGTAAAGTCATTCACTGAAAATCCACCAAGAAAAAATTGAATAAGGATGTCTCAAGTGACTAATGCAAGTTAAAAACAATATTGAAGATTTGGAATTAGCTGACATTTGCCCAAATGTTTGAACCAAGTTCAGCACAATGCATAGAATTAACAAGGTACACAACTTTTTTTTTTTATTAATTTTACTTATTTAGTAATCTGAATATTAAGAACAATCCATACAATTAAATTTCATGGAAATATCACAATTCTAATTGCCACCTAGAGCTGTCAAATTGGGTTGAATCCATTCCAACTGTTTGGCCCTTTGCACCCTTCCTAAAGACAACCTTCCTAAAGACAGGTTCAGTCCATAAATTTTTACCCATCTCCCTTAACCAATGGCTGAGGTGGATCAAGGTGGGTTGGCTCTCTTACTCAGCAAAAAATTTAAAATCTTTTTATGACAGTTAACATGGCCAATTATGCAGGTTTACCCCTAAGCCTGTTCAACAAGCTAGTCTATATTTACTTTTATGACTTATTCAAGTATTTTTCTTATTTTGAATCAAAATTTTTGTTTATTTTTGTTTATACTTTATACTAGTAAAGAAGAGTTATACTTTGGTGTTTTAAAAAAAATTTATTAATTGCTATGACTATTTATTTGTTTTTTCGATAGATTGAACTATTTAACCCAAGAATCTAAAATAATGGGTTTGGTTAGACTATTTGCCAAACTGTTCATAAAGAGGGTCACCCAACCCATTCATTCACCCATCCCCAGATCCATGATTGGTCATGGATGGTTGACACCTATATCAACCACAAACTCAAAAAACGTCCATTACTAAAACAAATGAATAAGAGAAACGGAAAGGGGGAAATCAAATTACAAAAACAAATCTGTAATATACTTTAAATAAGTGAAATAACATCGATTAAATCAAGTCCATTAGAAACAGTCAGACACAGACAGACACCTTTTCAACTAGCAAAAAAGGAACATCCATATCACTAACATTATATACAATAATGTAATTAACCTAGGGACTTTGGTAAATGTAAATGCATAAGACTGGTGTAATAATTAGTCCTGTAGTTGACCCAGAAAACTTCATGATCGTTTTCCTTTATGTTTTCTTAATCTTGGCATAATAGTGGAGTATTTCTTGATCATTATATAGATACAGTGCTTCAAAGATTTATCAAAATTTGAGCATGATAACATCAGATCATCAGATGGTCAGTATCTACAAAACCAACAGCATGCAGGAAAATTTGATATCAGCAAAAGCATATACATTTTTATAATTACACAATTTGTCATTTTTCTATAAAATACATGACACCAATTCACTCATGGTACGCTATAACATATTATGAATAAGAAAATTAAAAACAGGGAACAGGGAATTACTCTCAGATTGTTTTGTGATAAGGGTATTATTGATGGAATCCATTGGCATTTCCCTTTGAAACACCTGTCTTCGTCCATAATGGAAGAAAAACTTAGTATCCAGAACTTGAGGTGTGAACATAAGGCATGAACAATGAGAATACTTCAATATTAAACTGATAATGGTATTTGGAATGAAGCATTAGACAAGACCAAGTCTTTGAGCTGATTTTTTCAGGAAAATAGAAGAGAAATCAATGCATTAGTAGTAACAGTAAGAAAGAGTGAGAGGATGAGAATTTTAAGCGGAAAGATGGAACACAAGATTAAGTATATCAGTAGAGCTAATAAAATGCTTAATTTTGCTGTAAAGAAGGTAATAGTAAAACAACCTGAAGCACAATCCTGCTCTTCCTTGCATCAAGGTTGTCTCCATATAGAGTGGATCCTGTTTGCTGAATTCTCGAGGCTTTCATCTTTCTGTAAATAATGATTCAGGTTAACAATCATCCATGCATCATACTGAACCACTAAAGAAACAAGACATCTAAAAGGGTAACAAAACTGAATGCCTTGAATATAAATATGTAACACACACTATATATCTAGGAATTCATTTCCCTTCCTACTTAATTCGACAAAAACCATTCAATTTTAACATCCCAAAAACAACTTGAAACTTGGGAAAAAGAAAACTTAATAGCCAAAAACACAATCCAGTACTCTCATAAACAACATCAAAGGCTAACAAGTTTTAAATGAAGCATTGAAGAAAGCCAAAAGAAGCACCCCCCATGAATCGATTATTACTCAAGCTTTAATATTTTTTTCAACCAAGAGGCAAAAATGGCATAAAATTGAACAATTTTGGTCAAAGTATAGAGAGATAGGAAATGAGATTACTTTACAGAGAAAGAGTAACCATGAGGAGCTGAGGATTGGGAAGGCCACGAAGCAGTAAGTTTGCAAGGGAATTGGTTGCAGATAAGGGTAAAGGGAGCAGATTCATTGATGGGTTTGGTGATAAATTTGGATGGGATAAGAGTGGAAAGAGAAGGAGGAGAAGAGTATGAGAAAACGAGGAAGTGAGTGGAAATGGAACCACCCCTCATCTTCTTCTCTTCTCTTCAACTTTTTGCGCTGTTCCTGTTTGAGTTACAGAGGTTATCTTGTGATTGTGCCACCTCGGACGGAAAATAACACCGTTGCATGACGTTCCACTTATCCTTATTAATAATATAGATATAATAAAAATACCCTTTTTTCTGGAATTTATCTAAATGTACCCGTACTGTGTCTTTGCTCTTATTGCAAATTCTTCTAAACTAGAAAAAGAATACAAAAAAAAAAAAAACAGAGTTTTTATGCAATGTATCTGGTACAGGTTATTTTGAAATATTGCTAGACATCTGAAAGTGGGTAAATAGAGATTATCAAAAAATTTGCCTAGCTAACCCATTTGCCGAGCAATTGAATTTTGTATGTAAAATTGGACCAAAAATACTATACTTAGTGGACGTTTGGTTCAGGAGAAAATTTTTAAATACTAGAAAAATATAATTACTAAGAAAATAGTGAAAAAGTAAGTTTGATAAGAAAATGTAAAAAAAGTTGTTTGGTTAAAAAAAAAGAGTTTGCTATTTGTCATTTTAAATGACATAAGTTATGTCATTTTAGGAGAGAGATAGACACAGAAAAACAGAAATCATAGAAGAGAGAAAATGGGTAGTTTTTTTAATTTAAAATTCAAATTTTCTGTGTTTGTATCTTTCTTAAAATGACATAACTTTCTCTGTCATTTAAAATGACAAACCAGAAAAAATTTATGAAATCTATATTTAGTTGGAGGTAAAATATTAATGGAAAAATGAGTTGCATTTACCAAAATAACCCTTTTTTAGAATACATGGTGTGACTACTATCTTGTGAATTATGTATATGTATGTACTAGATGTAAATAATGCCTTCAAGATCTCGATCGTAGGATTGTGGGTTCTACTTTTAATTTAGCATTGCTTTTAATATGCAGTTCAAGTGGTATAAGCTGCAGTAACTATATTTAATATTGATGGATATGCGGTAGCACAAGATTTCGGAAGATGGACATTTTCGTAACAAAAGTAGAGCTAATTTTTTTCATTTTCCTATTCTTCTGCAAATCCACCTTCAAGGTGGTATTTGTAAACAGTGTTTTTGACATCAATTTACACACAACACTGATTTGCAGGGGTAAAATGATTGCGTAGTTTTATTTCTCTTAACTCTCTACCAAACATGGCATTAATGGTATCCTACTCCGACTTACCCAGCAATTCCATCAAAAATCACCTACCAAACACCCCCTTAAATCCTACTTCGACGGTGGTATTTGAGTGATAATCATCTAAGTGAAAAAGGTGAACATTGGAGGTAACAAAACTACCCTTTGTTTGCTGTGAAAAGTAGAACAAGATTTAAGTAGAAAATAAAAACAACCCTGTAATTATTCTTTGCACAAATGGGTGTGATGTTTTTTTTTTTTAAGTACAAAGAATGGGCCTAAGCGTAAAAGAAAAGCAAAGCTAAACAACGTTAATCAGCTGGGCATCAGATCCCAACAAAGAAAAAAATCATTGGGAACAATTAGGAAGAACAACATAATTCTCATGAGCGTGGGCAGCAACAACAGCCAGCCAATTGGCACACCTATTTCTATCCCTGCGGGTATGGTGTGATGCTTTTGAGTATTGAGAAAAAAAGGTTTTTGTAATTTGATGACTTTAAGCAACAGTAGTTCTCATTAGGATTATTTTGTAAAAGGATTATTTTGTAATTTTTCATCAATGTTTTATCTTCAACCAAACATAGATTCAGGGAATTTCACTCAATTTTTTCGGTAATGTTTTGCCCAACCAAATAACTTTTTTTAACTTTCCTACCTAACTCGCTTTTCCTGCAAATACCTAGTAATTATATTTCCCTGGTAAAAAATTTTTTACATGTACCAAACACTTGTTATTTTAAATAATATATATATTGGTCTTTTATATTCTTTGTTTTACAAAATTAGAAATAGAGAGTGAAAGAAAAAATATTACAAAGGAACTTAAAATGACATAAAAGGGTTTTATAGATATAATGGTGCATGACACTTTTTGTATTATGTTATAGACACATAAATATTGTGGGTTCTACTACAGGAAAAAATATATTGGAATGAATAGAAAAAAAGTTATGACACTTCTATTTCCGGACATAAAATTATATAGAGGTAGGATCGTTTGATATTGGTGTCAAATTTGAAGTTTGACACTTCATACGAGAGTCATTAGATAAAAAAATCAATGGTGTCATATGCATACAAATTAGAGTCATTGATCTTTTTTATCTAATAGCTCTCAGATGATGTGTCAAAGGATCTTACCTTAATTATATATTTTAAAATACAAATATTTTTTATAATTTTTAAATACATATAAATAAAGGCATGAAAGCATGTCATGATTAAAAACCAAAAATCAGTAAAAAATAAAAGTGAGATTATGAAACAACTTATAATGTTCACGAATTTAAATTTCCTTATATTCTTTTTCATAGATAGAAGTTGCCTTGGGGATCATTCCGAAAGTCACATAGCTGGACCAGGGCTGATGTCGAGTTGGACTTCTCACTTAGGAGGTTCAATAGATAAGCAGCGTCCGGTAGAGGGAGAATTTTTTTTTTTATCTAAAAATCTTAATTTTTAGAAATATAATTTTTCTGTTCAGTTTACGATAATATCTAAAAATATAAAATTTAAAAAAACTCAGTTTGGTGAAAATCTTAGAGAATTCCGCATACCAAATGCGCTAAGACACGTGCTCCGGCAATCTGGAACGTTGATTTGTGACTTACGATCATGTACCTCCTCTTATATATCTACCATCATCACCTACGAACGAGATGGTAGATATAGAACAATGCTTTGTATATATTAGAATAGTGTTTTCCAAGTCATCATTTTTTCCGCATCACATTTTAAACCACTCTTAATAAGCCCTAATGAGCTCTCTACAGACATCCCTTACTGTGTTTCCATCGAACCTTGGCTAAAGGTATTAGATTTCTCGTTGTCAGTTATCTTGACCTTAAGCTTCGTAGATACAATTATCAACTTTTCATATAGATTTTGTGTTCACGTCCAAATAGAAATATAAACATAAAATTGAGTAATTTTATATAAGTAATAATAAATTTTATTTTAATTGTTTTGAGTAGGTTAAACTTATATTTTTTTAATATAATTTTTTACGATTATTTTATTATCGTTGAATCAAATTAAATTAAAAGTTCATTTGATGTCATTTTTAATTATTTTTAGGATTTATTTTTTTTGCATTGCATGCAGATAAATTATCTACATTGAGCCTAAAATGGGAAGAGTGACCATTCTGCCACGCTTCACCAAATTATTTACCAGAACAGTAAAAATTCTCGGAATGCCACGCGACATAATTCGCTACACTATGCAGCGAATTATGCTTACAAATATTTCGTTACACAGTATAGCGAAATATGTCATGTCAAGCTGTACAGTCAGCAAAAATGACACGTGTCAAGCAGGCAGTAATTCGCTACACTATGTAGCAAATTAGGCTTGGATTACTGCCTGCTTGGATTATTGCATGCTTGACATGTGTCATTACTGTTGGCTGTGCAGCCTGACATGACATATTTCGCTACACTGTGTAACGAATTATTTGCAAGCATAATTCGCCTGCACAGTGTTGAGAAATATGTCGCGTGGCATTCTGAAAATTTTTACTATTGGTGTGGCAGTCTGATAAATAATTCGGTGAAGCGTGGCAAAATGGTCACTGTTCTGACCTAAAATGATATTATTTTGAAGTAGAAATTAAAATATTTTTATAATTTTAATTTATTTAAGAAATGAAGGAAAATAACTTTTATGACTTTTTTTTTTATTTCTTATTTTTTCCTCCGAAGCTTAGTGAATAGTAGCACCAAACCTAAACAAAACACTGAGACGTTATGTTCACCGGTATGGTGGTTGAAACCTCCGTCTTCTTTCGATGAATCCGAGGAAACCCCTTTTTTAGTTAACACTTAATAACTCACACAGTCTCTCTCTCTCTCTCTCTCTCTCTCTCTCTGTGTGTGTGTGTGTGTCTGTGTGTGTATAAAACTTATTCTTCATTTCTTCTTCTTCTTCTTCCACATTCCATGGCTCAGCTTCTTCAGACTCCGTTCATTCCTTCCTCCTCCGCCCTCCGCCGAAACGGCATTATTCCCCAACGGAGAACGACTAGACCCCTCGTCTTTCGGGCAAAGATCCGGGAAATTTTCATGCCGGCGCTCAGCTCCACCATGACCGAAGGCAAAATCGTGTCGTGGATCAAATCCCAAGGTGACAAGCTCTCCAAAGGGGACAGCGTCGTCGTCGTAGAATCCGACAAGGCCGACATGGACGTCGAGACCTTCTACGACGGCTACCTCGCCGCCATCGTCGTCGAAGAAGGCGGCGTCGCCGCCGTCGGATCTCCCATCGCCTTCCTCGCCGAGACCGAGGACGAGATTGCTCAAGCCATGTCCAAAGCTCAATCACATTCATCTTCTTCTTCCTCACCCTCACCACCACCACCACCACCACCACCATTGGAATCTCAACCGGAGAAGGTTGTGGTTGTCAATAATGTGGGTCCCGTTTCTCCGGCGAAGGCTCCGGCGGTTTCTTCGAGGCATCCAGCGTCGGAGGGAGGAAAGAGGGTGGTGGCGTCGCCGTATGCGAAGAAGCTTGCGAAGGAGTTGAAGGTGGAATTGGGGAAAATCGTTGGGAGTGGACCAATGGGGAGGATTGTAGCCAAGGATGTTGAAGCATTTGCAAGTAGTGGTGGTGTTGGTGTTGATGTTGGTGTTGGTGTTGGTTCTTCTGAGAGTGTTGAGTTGGGAAGTGTGGTTCCTTTCACGACAATGCAGAGTGCTGTTAGTAGGAATATGGTGGAGAGTTTGGGAGTTCCCACTTTCAGAGTTGGTTACACCATCTTCACTGATGCGCTTGATGCTCTCTACAAGAAGGTCCGTTTTTTTTATATGCAATGCATCGAACATTCTTCTTTTGGTTTTCTACTGTTGTTGGCTTGGCTATATCATGTGGATAATATTGGTTTTTATTTCAATGCTTGTTTTTTGTTTTTCTCTTGTGTTGTGCAATGTTGCAATGACATGTTTAATGCACTGCACAGGGTGGCCACGTCATTGTTATAGATCATTCATGCTTGTTTTTTGGACTAAGCTTGGTAATGTTGCCTTTAGTGATTCACACTCACCGCCCAAAAAAAAGAAAAGGGTGAAGAAAAGAAAACCAGGAACTTAAATACTTTGTAGTTTGTATGCAGTACTAAGTGTGAATGTTCTAGCACAAAGTAAATACCATATATTCTTAACTTTATTAACTGGACTACTCTTTGTATGATATGTTTGCAACGATCATATTGGATAGAAAGTGGTTCGGTTATTAGAATATTTCAACCTTTTCATAGAGTCAGATTAGGATTAAATATCTCAGGTCAATGATTTATGTATTTATTTTATTAAATGATATATTATGACTATGCTTGCTACTAGATGACGAATATCACAATGGTTCTTTGGAGATTTCAATGTCTAATATGTCATGACACTTTATCCAATTTAAGAATTGACTACTATGTATGCTTACTTTGGAGTTTGGATGGCTTTCTTGGGACTTGTGATGAATGGGTAGTTTAGTCATTGACAAAGCCAAATGCAAGGATTCAGGATCTTCATAGAACACAAAATCGATAAAAAAAAGCTGGGAAAGAAATTTGTTACCAAGTGTAACTAACGAATTTCTCAGCTAAATAAAAGGAAAAACGCTAGCCATGTATGATTATATGTTCTTCATGAAGTTGTTATTTTAACGTGCTGCAGGCCGTTTAGGATACTTTGATATCTTCAGTTTTTCATATTATTCTGAGTACCCTGGACTTCTGGATTCATGCCCAAACTGTTAATATTTCTTTATTGATTGATTCTATTTTATGAAATATCAGATCAAGTCAAAGGGAGTTACTATGACAGCGTTGCTTGCCAAGGCTACAGCACTTGCGCTGGTTAAACACCCTGTTATAAACTCTAGTTGTAGAGATGGTAATAGCTTTACATATAATAGCAGCATCAACATTGCAGTTGCTGTGGCGACAGATGGCGGACTGATTACACCAGTGCTTCAGGATGCTGATAAGGTTTTTGATACTCTATTTTGAGCAGCTTCTAATTTTTTTCCTTCTAATGTAAGATGGTGCTTAATTGTAAAAGGGTATATTTGATGCATGTGGTAGGTTGATCTGTATTCATTGTCAAGAAAGTGGAAGGAGTTGGTTGATAAGGCCCGGGCCAAGCAGCTGCAACCTCATGAATACAACACAGGTATAGTAATTACATATTTATACTTTACTGGGATTTTTTTTATCTCAATGAGTTTTCCATTTTATCGTAGAATCCTTAAATCTTGTAGGTAAGGATTAGGATATTGATACTGAACTTAACATTAATATCATCAGAGTCTCACTATATACATAAGATTTATCTTAGTCCAAAAGAAAGGAATGGCTCAGAGCTTTCAAAGATGAATGACATTAGTTGATTTCATGATTGTTATGGGCTATTGTTCTAAAGGTTAATTCCAGTCTGAAAATTGGATTATGATGCTCTGATGGATAATCATCTATTGTCTAAACTTTTCCTTTTGCTGCTACAATTCATAGAATTTTAAAGGCTATACTTTCTTGTTATTATTCTGTGGTAGGCAATATGTGTAGTGTAGGTATTCATGAATTGAATGCTGGTTTAGTGGGAAAATTGGGAGACCTCTAGGGAACTCTTGAGCCTAGGTATTTGGTTTGAGGGAGTTGAGGCTTTCTGGGTTTATTTTCTGCATTTTATGTTGTATTAGTGTATGTTAGAAGAGGCTATACCTCTATTGTTAATGAATTCAGTAGTGTATTTTTCCGGGTTCCATCAGTGGCCCATTTTGTGTGGACTATAAAGTGCTGGCTAGTACGATTCTACCTGATATATTTGTTTTTATTGTTTCTGATATGGGGATCTCTTGAAGAAGCAAGATACAGATTTGTCATATTTACCTAAAGGACGGGGTATATTATGTCCTTTATATGGTTGTTGAACTCTGGCATTCAATTGAGCCAAATTAAGGACTCTCTCTCTCTGATATTTCCTCCCTCATTGTTCGCTTTTGTTTTTCTAGGTACTTTCACTCTTTCCAACCTGGGAATGTTTGGCGTTGATCGCTTTGATGCTATTCTTCCACCTGGAACTGTGAGTATTCTAACTTGTGTTCAAATTACAACAGTGATGGACATCATGAATGTGATCATTCTCTGGATTTATTTGTATAGGGAGCAATAATGGCTGTTGGATCATCACAGCCAACTCTTGTGGCTACCAAGGATGGTCGCATTGGAAAGAAGAACCAAATGCAGGTATGAGAGTCCAGGCATTTATATCTAAGATCATCACTTATTTTATTTTATTTTGTTAAAGAAATGCAAATCCAGGCCCAGACTTCTGTTTTCTTGTAATTGAAGAAATGCAAATTTGCAGGTCAATGTCACAGCAGATCATCGAGTAATCTATGGTGCTGATCTTGCTTCATTCCTGCAAACACTGTCACAGATTATTGAGGACCCTAAAGATCTTACTTTCTAGTCTCCTTTACCTACATTCTAATGGCACATTTTCTGGTTAAAAAAATGAAAGACGTTTCTTTCTGGGTATGATTCCTCTCATCATGGTTATGGGTTATTGATTGTTGACAAGCCGTAAATGAGGAGCCAATTAAAGAACAGGAGCAGTGTTTTGAATAGGAAAGCTGAGTTGTAGTTTCTCAAATGAGATTTTGTCAAATATGCCATTTTCATTTTTCTTTAATGCTGTCTGATTATAAATTTTTAATTTTTTGGCTGTTCATTACTGTCTAATAATCTGCATTATTTGTGTAAGCGTGAAACTTTTTTTTAAATTCTATGTCTAGAAAAAAAGATTGAAAAATGATAATGTTACTTACAGAAAACCTGTGAAATCACCTTTATCTATACTATCCTACCTTGCTGTCTAAGGCACCACTATTCGGGCCTATGCCTGTGGAGTGGGGTACACTGGGATTGCTAGTTTGTTACTGCACAAAAACTGGGGGGTATCTTTCCTTAATTTCTTAATTATATGTATTTCATTATAATCTTAAATATTTGATCTTTTAGTTTATTTTTAAAACTTTACTTAACTAATTATATATTTGTTATTCACTTTTCAAAAAAAATAAATTAAGTTTACATATTTTTATTTCCAGTCTAAACGGATACTTCACATAAGAAGAATTTTTACATATATGAACAACTTATATTAACAATCTTACGTTGATCTCATTTGCTATCTAAATCGACGTAGGGATGGTACAAATCTTATATTACAGCAGATATAGAATTTGAGCATTATTATAAATGAAGAATAGATGTAAAAAAATTGAAAAAGAAAATATTGCATTTAATCGTTATGAAATAAACATTGATAATAATAATGAATAATAAATTTCAAAGAGTGCCAAATACTTGTTTGTGTGTGACAAATTTTGGGTCCCCGAGTTATTTTCGGTTATTTCAAGCACAAGAAATTTGTGGAAATCAAAGACAGTACTTGGCTTTAGAATATTGCTTTGCTAAGATTTCATGAAGTCAATTATTTTTTAAAATAATAAGATGTCATGAAGTCGCTTTGCACCAACACACAAGTTTAGAAAAAAATTATTATTATTATTATTTTGGTTCAAAGTTGGAACCTGATTTTTATTTTGTTGAAACAAGTTGGAACGCGAGTTGTTAAAACAGGGACCACACTTCCCTGACTTGGTATCAATTTTATAGACATTGGTTATTAAATCTTTGAAGTAGGAAATTAATACTATATATATATATATATAATATGAAAAATATTTTTCAATGACACAATTTTGTGTCATTTTAGATAAAAGGATGTTGTTTTGGTATATTTTTTGTGATATTTTATATTTTCTCTTCTCTATAAAATTAGGAAGAGAAGATAAATTATGCAGCAAAATGACGTCGTTTCATCTAAAATAACACAAGTTATATCATTTAAAATGACAAACGTCAAAATTGAAAATATAACTTATACTGATGCAAAATGATCTTACATTATATATATATATATATATATATATATATATATATATATATATATATATATATATATATATATTACTTATTCCATATTCTTAAAATTTGTTTGAAGATTTCTTACAACTTTGGTTATACATAATTACATCGGAATAGATAGTTTGTCTTTGATTAGATCAGAAAGGTGAAGTAGTCAAAGTACATAAAATAGAAATTATTTGGCTGTATTAATGAAAATAAAAAAGTAGAATAATAATTATAATTATCAATAGAAAAATTAATAAATAATTTTTCAAGCATCTATGGGTTGTTAATATACATAAAATTATATTAAAAGTATAAATTTGACAATTTGACATTTTTTTTATTGTTATTGAATAATATATTGATATTATTATAATAATTTACGGAAAAAATATTTATATAGGACACAATGTTTGTTGCGCCCTCTTAAATAACACTACCGTATTTTATTACAATAATTTTCTTTATATCAATTTTTTATAAAAATTTTAGCTAAATATTATAATGAAACACTCTTTCACTTAAAAGGACATAATATTATGTTCTTTAAAAAAATAAATAATTTTATCATAATTTAATCGTACAATCGTTAGAGGAAGGTGATATTTAGTTTTTACAACATTTTTTTTCTTACAACCACTTTTATGGTTGTTGGATCATAATCAAATTAACAATTATAAAATAATATATTAAATAAGAGTTATTGATTTAATTTTGATTAAATAACCATAAAAGTGGTTGTAAAGGAAAAAAGATGTAAATATAATATTTCCCTAATCTTTAATAGAATATGTTATTAAATAATTTTAAAAATTGTAACAATAATAAATAAAAATTAAATTCATATAATAAACCATGCATATTATATTAATGTGACTACCATAACAATGTATTCGTCCAAGTATATTTTATTTTATATGTATATATATATATATCATCTCTTAGAATTACGTATTCTTGGAAATCCATAGGTATAATATTAAAGTTATTTTTTTCTATCTCCCCATCAGCCGACAAGTTTTTGAAGAAAGAGATAACTTTAATATTATAACTATGTACTCCCAGAGACTCTTCGGAGTACATAATTATAAAGGGGTTATAGGATAAAATCTTATATTCAGTCACAGGATAAATAATTAGGGGCATTCGCGGTCTAGAATAGATCGATTTTGGAAGCAAAAATCATCTGATCCAATCCCTTTGCATTGATCATGTAATCATCTATTCGATTTTGATCATATTTCAAATCCGATCCATTCCAATCCAATTTTATTCGGTTTGGATTGGATCGATTTTTGATTTTTGGAAAAGCCTAAAATTTGTATGATGATTATTGTGCAAATAACATATCTTTTGTATATATTGATTTTCTAAAGTTTATATGATGATTATTGTGCAATCTAGAAGTATCAGTAAATGATAATCTAATTTTCAATATAGTACAACAAAAAGTTGAATTATCATCTTTTATCTCCAAAAAAATATTTATAATGTGGTTGCTTGAGATACAAAATAACCCAAATTTTCATCCTATAGAGGAGCTGTTGTACAATAATAACCCATACAATAAAAATATATGATGTATCTTACCCTAAAAGAGAGAACATAACATAGATCAAGCACAACTCACTTCTTTAACATGATGGGTTAATGGATCTTGAGTTTAAAATTTTACTATATGATTTTTGGGTTATGATATGGGAAAGGCCCAAGTAAGTAGGGGGTAAGGTTGTGGAATCATTATATCAATTTTCACCAACCAAATCGAAAATCGATCAAATTCAATTAAATTTTGCAAAGAAATTTCGATTTTCGGTTATCGATTTTTTGGTTCGGTCACCGCGATTTAAATCGGTCGATGAACACCCCTACAAATAATAAATCCTATATATATTTGTATATATAGGGTTTGAGGCTATCATACAACAAGAACACTTTCTCTTCTCCCGCGGACAATAAACCATGATGGGGCCCACCATGTATTTTTTTTAAAAGTAAAAAATAAAACAAAAAATTTCTCTCTGTCTATCGCAAAAGAAAAAATATTTTCCTCTCTTTATATTTATATATATATATATATATATATATATATATATATATATATATATGAGGTAGGATCCTTTGACACCAGTGTCAAATTTGAAGTTTGACACTTCATCTGATAGTCGTTAGATCAAAAAAGATCAATGGTGTCACATGTTTACAAATAAGAGTCGTTGATCTTTTTTTTTTAGAACGGCTCTTAGATGAAGTGTCAAATTTCAAATTTGACACTGGTGTCAAAGGATTCCACTACTTCATATATATATATATATATAGGGAAAATATTTCTGCAGTTAATGTAGATAAGTTATTTGCATTTATTCTCAAAACGACATTGTTTTGGTATTAAAATCTTAAAAAATTATAAATATAAAGACTATTATAACCCTGAAATAAATTAAAATTACAAAAACATCATGATTTCTGCCTTAAAACGACGTCGTATTGGATTTACTGCAGATAACTTATCTGCAGTAACTGCAGAAAAAGTGAACACACACACACATATATATATATATGGTGTTTATATTTCTGCAGCTACTGTACGTGCAACAATCAAATACTTGCCATATATATACTTGAAAACATTAAATGTGGGGAATCATAACCATACAAAGGATGAAAGGATTAAAAATGGGGAATCATAACTATACACCTGTCGTTGTTGTACGTAAAGCGGCTGTAGAAATAATTTTACCTATATATATAGGAAAAATATTCCTCTGACAACTTGAGATCAGTTTATCTCCGGCTATCTCAAAACTACGTCATTCTTCTATTTATTTCCTTATATTAATTTAGGCTTTAATAGCTCTCATGTTGCTGCAGATCAGAAAATCTGCAGCAACACTTACTTCCATTAGGATTCGGTTCTGTATCTTGGAAAGTTTTTATTTTATTTTTTAATTTCAAGATCCAGCTCCGTATCTTATGTAAATATATTTGCGGCAAGTTTTTCCATCAGCAGTGACAGCAGAAATGAGAAACCCATTAATTGATTTGCCTTTGAATGGTTATGATTCTCTTTTTCTCTCTCTTCTTTTATCACCATTGATCCATCTTTGTACGATTATGATTTAGTAACTGAAGATAAAATTATCTCAAGCGTTTGATTGCTATACGCTGGAGACGCATTAAAAAGTTGAAAAAAAATTGATTATCGTATCATTTTCATGTACACCCATTTGCACTGCACGTGCAAATAGAGATATAGAAGAAGCATTTGAGTCTCTCAATTTCAAAATTTTAATTTTCCTTTAAATGGTATATATGATCTTGTAAATCTATTTCAAACTTCTAAGTTTGTTTTTTTTTTTTTTTTTTTTGTGACTGGTAGTGGTGGATATGCACTGAAAAATCAATTTATCCTGATAATTCCAAAAAAATGAATGCCATGTACATCCTTACAACTATTTTTTTCATATTTCAACCACACAAAATACTCAAATGTTGTAGTAACAAGACAAGATTTCTATCCTGACGCTGAGTTTGTTATCTTGTGGAACAATAGTAACGAATTTCAAATTTTTAGTCCAATCATCCAAACAAGATGTTATATAATTTGGTTGGTCATGTGTGTAGTGTGATTTTCTGCCCTCTGTTATTGTGAGGCCAAAACAGGAACCAACTTTTAGTAACATTACATTATTCCATAGTGACAGGTTATATTTACAAACTTTTTTGTTTATAAACTATTACAAACTACACTAAGTAGGACCGGTCCTACATTAATCACACAGTGTACGACCAGTCCTATTTAGTGTAATTGCAAAAAAAAATAGTAAACGGATCCTGTCCCTATCCCATAATCATAAATTTTTGAGTGTAAAAAAGAAGCAAAAAACCCCCCCTTTACTAATTTCTACTTATCAAATTAGTTTCAAACCTTACATGGTCTAGACTTTAAATTAACTTTCTAATTTTAACTGTGTGTTTATTGTCTCTAACAATATCTATACATTCCATATAGTTTTTTTTTTTTTTTTTTGTAATAACATTCCATATAGTTTGTTTGTTTCCCAAAATCACCATCAAACTGAACCGTGTCACTAGGGACCAAGTGGCTATGTGGAGCCCTAACTACAGTAGAGATATAATACAATTCTAAAGAGATTGAATAAGTGTATTAAGTGTATTGGACTCTAGTGGTACAACATCACTTCATGGCTCAATTAGTCAACACTATTTGGAAAATAACTACAATAGAAATGACTTGCCACTATCAATCCTGCGGCAATTAAAACCTAGATTATATTTGATCATCCTTTAATCAACAAGAAAGGAGAGATAGCAAATTCCTGAATATCTAAAAAAAATTTCATTTTGTTTTTTATTGTGTAAACTGTCAATTATTGTTTCATAACAAATTAAGGAAATCACAGAATGAGTATATTGGTTTTGCCTTTTACTGTGATTAGGCATGTATGGCCCAGCTCACCTATGAGTGATGAAGATCTTTCTTGAAAATTTGAGTTGAGCAGAGAGAGCATAAACCTCATTCTTAATTTGTAGTGAAAAAGAAAGTGTAGCTTTGTGCAGTAGGTGAACTAAAACCCTTCCCAAAACAACCACCTTGTCCAAGTCCACCCTAAAAACCTAACCCAAAGTCACACATCATTCCCATCTTTCTAATATTTGAACAAAGTGCTGATTAGCCAAGTCATGGATACAGAAGATTTCAGCTTTCCCAGAATTAGTGACACATGTGCATATAGCATTGATTCACCTCCTCTGTGGAATCTATCACCAGAAGGCTCTTCTAATCCCTACCAAGTCCTCAGAGAAGGAAACAAAGGAGATGAAAAAGATTGCTTTGAAGCAAAACTGGTCTCTGAGGGCCAAAGGAAGAGCTTTTCATGTGTCCAAAATGGAAAGAAAATAATGGGAGAAGATGATGAAGAGGCCCCAATGGACTTGCTGTGGGAGGGTTTCAATGAGGAGTTGTCTTCAACAACAGGATTTGATACCTCTTGTTCAAGGGAATTGGTTGAATTCAGATGTGCTACATCCTTAAAAGTAGCCAAAACAAAAGGTGCACTTGTTCAAACTAAAAATAAACCTGCTATGGTGGTGATTGTGAAGGTCTTAAAGAAGCTATTTTCCCTCAACAATTCTCAAGGTAAACCCAGAAAGAGAGTGCTCTAGTTCTATATGGCTTTTGGGTTAGATAGATTCTTCTCTTTTCTTTAAGAAGAAAATTGTTGGGTTAATTAGAAGTCTTGAACTGTTTTTATACTATGAGGAGGTCAGTGGGCTAATTCTGCCTCTCCCAATTTAATTTGTATATGTAAAAGTAAATATAAATTATATAGAGAATTCTTCTTTCATTCAGGATTATGAGTTCCATATGTACCTTTTGGTAAGCAACTATACTTTCCTCTTCTGTTCTAAAATCTTTTGGCTCCCAGCTATAAGTTTCAGCCAAACTCATGAAATGAAGCCATAGCTTAATATATATATATAGGGTCAGGATCATTTTACACCAGTGTAAGTTACACTCTCAATTTTATCCGTTGATTCCATTTATATCTAACGGCTAAATTTTTTTAGAAATGTGAGCCATTAGATACAAGTGGATCAATGGTCAAGATTGAGTGTAAGACTTCTAACTCTTACACCGGTGTAAGAATATCCTGCATATATATATATATATATATATATATATATATATATATATATATATGGATGATGATCCTTTTATATCGGTATAAGATTAATAAGTCTTACATCACATATCAACCGTTGATTTCCGTGCATCCAACGAGTATAATTTAGGAAGTCATCCGAATTAATTAATCATTAATTACACTACAAATACCAACCGATAATTTCCGTCCATCAACGATTGAGATGTGGTGTAAGATTTGTTAATCTTACACTAGTGTAAAAACAACCTGCACTTATATATATATATAGTAATTGCTTGTATGTGGAAAAAATTGGTTCCTAAAAGTTTTGTAATAAGATTGAGTCATGACTCATATAAAATGCTTTTGACAAAGTCCTCCTAAAAGATGATTCAACTTATTGGTTGGAATGGGCTCTGCTCCAAAATTGAATCAATTGTTGCCAGTACCTTCCTAGAGTAGTGCATTTACAATAAATGCTTTTAAATAGTTTGTCTTAAATCTCAATCATGTTATCTAAGAATGGAAAAAGGTTCATTTCTCCTTTTAGTTACCTTCATGGACAGAAAAGAAAAGGACATTTCAAAAAGAAGGCTGAATTTTCACTCAATAATTGAGTCAAAATTAAAATAAATGGCTGTAAAAACAATAAATTTGGTAAATAACGTGTGAAAAATAGAGGGAATAAGAGTGTGTTGTAACTTGTAACCCGAAACCACAATGAAATACTATTTCTAGCATTTGACTACGGTGTGAAATGCTCAATTCTTGAGTTGCATATAGGACAATGCCTTTTGTCATAATCTTTTCTTTGAATTCACTATGACAATGAAATGACCAAATGGCCTCGCAACAAAAGGCTTACCAGTTAGCAGGTAGAGTAGAGGCACTAGTACTACTCTATTTCTAATTTGGTAAATATATTATTTTTGTAATTTTTTATATTTTTGTCCAATGTGGCATTAATACATTATTTAATAAATTTGATTATAATAAAAATTATATAAGATATTAAACTTATTGAATAGTGTAAAATATAATTCAGTGATAACATAAACTAAAGTATTTATTTTAAAAAAGTAACAATATACATTGTCATTGTGGAAAAAATTATACTTATATTTACGGGGAATGAATTCTGCAATTGTGGCAGAAATCATTCATCTGACAACATTTGAGAGAGAGAAAAATATGATAAGAGAGAAACCAATATTTGTGTCAGAGGCAAGAAATGATTTTTGCCATGACCGCAATCATTTTCTCATAATTTATGAGTTCGCTTTTTCTACAGTTAAACTAGATAACTTATCTACATTGAGCAGACGTCGTTTTGAGGTAAAAATCAAAGTATTCTTTTAATTATAATTTATTTCATAATTATAATAGTTTTTTTCGTTATAATTTTTAATTTTTTAACCCAAAATGATATTATTTTGAGAGCAAATATAAATAACTTATTTACATTCACCGGAGAAATATTAAAGCCATGATTTATATTCTTATTACAAAATTATATAATTTATAAGTTTAATTTTAATGTGTTGTTTCATAAAAAAATTATATTGATATTTAATAATGTTTATTATATCAGTTAATAAATTTGATAATACTATAATAATTTTGTATTAAAATTAAATTAATAATTTATTGTATATATTTTTTTAGCAGATTTGGAACAAGTTTAAAATGCAGGTTGGATTAATTTACTTTTATCATAAAAAACAAGTTGAGTTAAAATTTTTCTTCGGCATTTTCTTTTCTGAAAATAAAATAAAATAAAAACCATACAGCTGAATTTTACACAAAAAAAAAAAAAAAATCTTAATATTTGTTGTTGACAAAATTTCACTTGTATTCGACTCTTTCCGACGGCTGCAACATCTTCCGAATTTCCTCCATTTCCGTCGAGGGCAGAGAGGTACAGACAGTTGCTGACACCTTATGTAATCTTGTCTTTGTTTCTGGGGCATTCATGTTGTCCCTTTTGCTCTGAAATCTGTGTTTGAAAATGTTATTTTACTCATAATGATGCAGGTTTTAATGGGTGTCATTGGTTTTCAGAATCCTGCTGATTTTTGCCTGATTATGTCCAAAACGGGTCTTCGTCAAGTGGGGTTGACGCAAAGACCCAGTTTTTCATTTGAAGGGAATCAGAGGAAGCTTGTGGCCATGGCATCTACTATTCCTGTAGAACAGGTCAATAAGGGTTCCTTGCAGTTGAAAGGTGACTCCTTCATCAGGGAGCATTTGAAGAAGTTAGCTCCTTATCAACCCATTTTGCCTTTTGAGGTTGGTGTCATCAAAAGTGTACTTTTTTTTTTAATTGACTTGTTACTTCCATGTGACTCTGCCACAATGTTGTTGTTCCTGAAGTGTTCTGGTCAATGAGTGAATTTTCTGATCAATAAGTCCTTTTTTTGCTTTAAATCATAAAATATTTTATTTGAATACCTTGTGCTTTTTTTTAGGTTAAGGTCTAATATGATACTGATTGTTCAGGTTCATTATGGTGCAACCTTTTTCTTTATGAATTTGTAGTTATTTTTGTGTGTGATTGATACGTTATTTCCATACCCATTGCATATTTGTAGTTAAAAACTTGGAAACTGTAGATTCATCTCCATGTAGATCATGAAGAGTCAAGGAGTTTGCAATTTGACCCTAGATTTTTTTTTCTAACAAAGATTTGGTCTGGACCCCAGCATTTGTCAGTGGTTGCTTTTGTGGGGGGAAATTGACCCACTGCTGTGCAATTTGATAACAAAAGAAGATGATTTCTGCTACAGGTTTTATCTTCTCGCCTAGGACGCAAGCCGGAGGATATTGTCAAGTTAGATGCTAATGAAAATCCTTATGGTCCTCCTCCAGAGGCAGGTTCTTGTACTTTTTTTGTCATGCTTTTCTAGACTATCGAGATAAAAAAATGGAAAATAGTTATCCGGTTTGTGAAGTTAGTAATTGACAGCGAGATTCTAGTATTATCTTTCAGACTTTTTGAGGTTTTAATCTTGAAGGTCTGTTTTTAAGTGTTCCAGGATCTTACTGAACATTACACCCTTGTATTATCTCCTGAGTTGACTATCAGAGGTTTGACAGGTATTAGATGCCCTGGGATCAATACAATTCCCATATGTCTATCCTGATCCACAGAGCCGCAGGTTGCGTGCAGCCCTTGCCCAAGATTCAGGCCTTGAATCTGAATATATTCTTGCAGGATGTGGTGCAGATGAGCTTATTGATTTGATCATGCGGTTAGAACCATTTCTGTTTTAGTTACAAATTCTTTTTCTCTTTAATATTTATCTTTAGTCACTCCACCCTCGCTAGTTGGAGTTTAATGGGTAGTTTTTTTTTTATCTATCTTCAGCATTGCTATGACAGTTAACCTTTCTTTATTTTCTGCTGTCTGGAATCTTGGTATCTGATTTACACATTATATATACTGCAGTTGTGTGCTTGATCCAGGAGACAAGATTGTGGATTGCCCTCCAACCTTTACAATGTATGAATTTGATGCTGCAGTCAACGGAGCACTTGTCATCAAAGGTAATTTGTTTGTTTTAAGATTATAGATATTTCAAACGAAAATCAGAGATCCCTAAACAGATGGAACCTTATATGGTAAAGTGGCTCATATCTCTTGATTAACTTGCCTTTAGCTTTTAGAGTTATAAACTAAAAAATACTCCTATCTTAATATTATAAATCCTTTTATATTTCTTATAAAAATTAAAGATCTCTAAACAGATTAGCTTTTACTGTATTCTTGAGTGGCTCATATTTGAGGACTGTAGATCTTTAGCTTTTAGATATTTAGACTTATCAACTGAAAAGATCTTGTCCTTTTAGCGTATTTTGGTTTTTCTTATTATTTCTTGGGTTTTTCTTATTATTCTATCTCAGATATGCATAACCACCTGCATTATTCCAACTGTAGTTCCAAGGAGGGCAGATTTTAGCTTGAATGTGGAACGCATCACAGATGTTGTTGAACAAGAGAAGCCCAAATGCATATTTTTAACGTCTCCAAATAATCCAGATGGAAGGTAGCTTACGAGTATCGTTTCTTCTGCTTTGTTACTCTAGAGTGCATAGTTAGAGAAGTTAGGTGTTTGGATGCATGTCATAGTATTGTTTTCTTTTTCTATTTCCCCCCTAATTTGGTCCACCTCGGATCTTCTCCTTCAAACAGGAGTTCCTTGTGAGTCGGATAAGGACCTGGTGCTGAACTAAATAAATAAAATAACAGAACAGCAGCTCAATTATAGAATCAGACGGAGTATATGTCTTTATTGGTAGCAATAAGTAAACTTCAAACAACACTGAGTCTTTTGAGAGGAGTCAACTCTCCCTCAGCACCTTGCCAAACCCAAATTACCCAAATACATCCTGCTCACCTCTTCTACTCCTAACCTATATATTCCTTTTCCATAACAGATTTTCCCTCCCCTGCCAGCTGTGTCATCTAGCATTTGCTAAGTCGTAGTTGTCTCTCCAGTTGGCGATACATTGTTGCCTTTTTTATTTCTAGGATATACCCACTTTATGATAGGCATATCAGAGTCATTTTGTTTGATTTCCATTTTGTTCAGTTACACGCTTACAATACAGTTACATCCGGAGATGATTGGATAGCCAATGTACATTAGGATTTGGACAGTCATTAGTGTATAACTTGAATGTGCTCTTTGTTTCTGAATGCCATTGATTATGATTTCAAGGGTATTTGCTTGGTTCTAGTGCCTCCCTTGTATTAAAATTTACAAACTATACAGTTAGTGTGCTCTCAGAAGTTGAATGATAATGAAGGCTTTTTCCGTATTTGTTTTTTATTAGCAATTATAAGTCAGGCTTTAGTAAGGCTGCTGATTGTTTTTTCATAATTAGCATGCTGGAAATAATTTTTTTTTTGGTGAGTGGAAATAATTTTTTTTTCTTCTGCTAGCTTCTGATCAAGTATATTTTGTTCTAACCATGCACAACAGTATGATTGATGATGAAGTTCTCTTAAAGATACTTAAGCTTCCGATACTAGTGGTGCTGGATGAAGCATACATTGAGTTTTCAGGAATTGAATCAAGGATGACTTGGGTGAAGAAACATGATAATTTGATTGTTCTTCGGACATTTAGCAAAAGAGCTGGTATGTTTATATTTTTAGTTTTTTCTTTCACGGTAAGCAGTAAGAACCCTTTCTGTTTCACTTAAGAACAATATCCTTTGGATGCCATTTGCAGATTTCTTATTGTTTTTATTTATTTACATGCTATTGCTGGTATTAAGTCCAGAATTGTGATTGGTATTAGAACCTTGTGGGTTAGGTTGACCATGACTAGAACTCAATTTGTGAAGTATGGTTTATTAAGATTAAGAAGGTTGGGGGAAAGATATTTGTGAAAGAGAATTTGTACAGTGGAATTGAATGACTTTGAATAACCATTTTTATTGTCAACTACAATCCTCATGATTCAGGCTGGATAATCAATATCAAGTCTTCTCTCTAAAAAACCAATTTTTCTTTGTAATTTTTTGAATTTATGGATTATATACTGATATTTTATATGTTTATATTGTTTAACTACAAAATTATGTTCCTGATTCCTTGTATTGTGTGCTTATATCTTGATTGGATTTTTTTGTGCTATTGTGAACCAGTAAATTATAAATTTTGAAATGAATTACTGTCTCAGGTTTAGCTGGACTTCGTGTGGGATATGGAGCATTTCCTTTGAGTATAATTGAGTATATTTGGAGAGCAAAGCAACCTTATAATGTATCTGTTGCAGCTGAAGTTACTGCATGTGCGGCATTGCAAAATCCTATCTATCTCGAGGTTTTTCTTTGCACTTCAGGATCTAAGCTCACATATATATTTTAGTTATATGCACTAGTTCATTATGTTCATTCAAAACCAAATCTAATTTATCAATCTTTAATGTACAGAATGTTAAAGATGCTTTGGTGAAAGAAAGAGGTAGGCTTTATGATCTTTTGAAGGAAGTTCCATTTCTTCGACCATTTCCAAGCTATTCGAATTTCATTCTTTGCGAGGTTTCATCTGGAATGGATGCAAAGAAATTAAAGGTACCTTCTTTTCCATATCTTTCTACATTTCACTTTTTTCCTCCTTAGTCTAAGACAATTATTGTGTGGTGCCAAATCAGGCACTGTATTTCTGTTTTGAAATTTGATTTGACAGGAACCTTTTTCTTCCCAAAATTTCCATTTGAATAGCCAATCCCCATATCATAATAACCATACTAAAATGCAGCCATCTCATCATGCTGTAAAGAATAAGTTTTCTGTTAATGTTTTTGCCACCGCAGGTTCTAGCGAAATAACCACACTCTAAACAGAATAACTATATTATCAAATGAAATTTTGAGTAAAAAAAAAAATTCACATGAAACTGGAATACAGTGCATTAAATGTCATTGGTGGCGCTCTGCCTTAGAAATAATCAAACTTCTTGGGTATCCTATATTTTGATTTTAGTTTCATGCATTCTTGATCTAAAAGGTATATTTTTTCTAGCAAATAGGCTTTTCTTTATCCACATATTGTTTGTCAGATAGTGGCAACTCAGTCACATGTACAATGAGGATGGAGGAGAAATGTTTAAAAAAGATTTAACACATGCCGATTCCAAATATACTCTTTCTTGCTATCTTTGTTTTTCATCTTTTCTTCAGAGAGGGCTTAAGTTGGTGGGGATTGGCAGGTGTACAACGTTTCTTATATCTGCTATTACCCTAACTTCAAAATTGTGTTTGCTGAGAAATTTTAGAGCCTTGTGTACTAATCAAGGAAGACCTGTTGCATAATTTAATTACATGTAATTCTGGCACCTGTGAAAAGCAGTTAACAAAAATATTTAAACTATTTTCTGCTATATTTGTTATTCTAAACTTGGGCATTATTTATTTGAATACAGGAGGACCTTGCACAAATGGGTGTGATGATTCGTCACTACAACAGTAAAGAGCTTAAAGGATATGTTCGTGTATCTGTTGGGAAGCCTGAACACACTGACGCCTTAATGAAGTGCCTTACATGTCTATCATAGTTGTTGTGTTCAGGAACTATTTCTTGGAATCTCTTAATTTAAGAACATAAATTTGAATTTAATAGATGTTTACACGTTATCAAGAAATGTTGTTGCTAAACTTCCCAATTCCCTTGGCAAAGGGAAGTTGATGAATTCTACCCCTTTTTCCCTGAAGTTAATCAAAAGCTCAAAACTAGATATATGTTTTTTTGGGCAATGTTTTGAAGCATTTCTTGAATCTTGCTCAATGTGAACCATGGACTTTGATACGTCAAACACAAAGAGGTCATTGAAATAGTATTGCTAATTGATCATTATTCAAATCTGTTTATCTATTAGATCCACATATTCACTGACTCCATGTTGAAAACCTTAAAGCTACATTAAAGAAACCTTCTCTCAAGGCTAAAATATTTATTTTAAACTCTTGTTTGTTATTTTCATCTTGTTGATAATTTTGGCCATTGTGACCAGGGTAGAGCAACGTTGCTCCATAATCGTCCATTATTTTAATTTTGATCCTTATTATTTATTGTTGTTTAATTTACTTTATTACTTCGTAATCCATTCTCACGACACGAGTGAGAAAAATATATTGTATCCAAGGCAATTGTTATCACCACTTGAATGGGAATTTCTTATTCTCGGCATCAATGTCATGGTCCTAGTCGCTAATAACAGTTGTGGGCGCATTGGCGATGTTGATGGATTGTGGCCTGAATTATTGCGAGTAATGAAACTTACAAATTAAAATAAGATGATAAAACAAATAAGGGATGTAATTTGTGTCATAATCATTTTGTACTCATTCTTGACAGCTGATTTTACTTCTTCTTTTTTAAATTATATGAATGTAATTATACCAGTGTAAGATAAATTTGCCCGGTGTAATTTTGTGTGCTCCAGCCCTTCACATTTAGAAAGAAATGGACATGACATTGTCCCAGGAATCTGACATTGTCCAAGGACCTGCCTAGAATATGCCAAAGAATGTGAGGGAAACAAGAATTTTTGGTGGTGTTGCAGCAGCTGGGGCAACCCGAGAAGGCTCAAGAAGATTAAGCTTGCTGTTACTACCCTCTGCCTGCCATTGGAGATTTGGAGTGAAGCTTATGATAAAATAGTTTGCTTTATATGATGATCATTTGAGATGTGTTAAACTAAAAAGTTTGACATTTTATCTGAACGGTTAATTTATTCAATCTTATAATTCTAAGGATTAATTATTAATTTTTAATAAATTATTGTTGTTAGATTAATAAAATCAATTCTATAGATAGGGTATTAAATTATGAGATGTATGTTTATCATATTAGAGGAGATAATTTTATTTTATTTTTTATACATATATAAAAATGTGTGTGAGGCTCATATTTTTTTCTTCTTCCCTTTTCTATTCACATGATCTCACATGGACTCCACACACTTTTATATATATGTAGAAAATAAAATTATCTTCACTGTAAATATTAATTCCTTAAATGATCATGTCTCATATAGGGAATACTTTTTTTTCAACTATTTAATCAAAAAGTAAAAATTAAATACTTATTAAAATGGGAAAGTATTTCTCCAATCACAGGAGATAAAGTTATCTCCAGTGAACTCAAAACGACATCATTTTGGGTTATAAAATTAAAAAATTATAATTATAAAGATTAATATAACTTTGCAATATATTATAATTATAAAAACACTTTGATTTTTGCCCCAAAACGACGTCGTTTTGGATTCACCGGAGATAATTTATCTCCATTGACTGAAAAAATTCTTTACCCTTATTAAAATTGGCGTATTATAGTATATAGAAATTAAATAGGATATTTTCCAAAAAAATAAAATAAAGAAAGTCAAACCAAAAGATAATAATAAAAGGGTTTTATTAATCTCATGTTAAAGGAGATAAATTATCTCATGTCATAGAGATAAACTTGTGGGCTCCACCACCTGAAAAAGAAAAAAGAAAAAAGAAAAATGTGGCACAGTTATTGAAGAGTGTGTAGGAGATAAATTTATCACATATAACATAAGCATCGACGGACCTACATAGTTTTTTACGTGTGCAAGTGCAGACACAAAAAAAAAAAATTATTTGAAATAGCTTTAAGAGTAAAGTTACCTTTTGGTCCTCAACAAAAGCCACGTGGCCCATTTTAATTCATTAGGAAAAAAAAAAAAACAGACTTGTGATTCCTTTAAAATTTAAAATAGACACAGTTAGTCGAAATTGTGATCCTTCTGAAATTCAAATAAGACACACGTTAGTCCTTTAAAAAGAATAACACAAGTCTATTTTAAATTTTGGAGGGATCACGACTTTTTTTTTAAGAGATTAAATTGGACCCCATGATATTTGTTGAGAACCTAAAATGTACTTTACTCTAGCTTGAAATAGCATTTAAAAAAATGAAATATATATGAAATAGCTTGAAATAACAAAAGCTTGATATATGTGGATAGTTTTCTTTTCTCTTATTGTTTATATTCTTTTATTTTTTAATACATTTAAAAATTTCTTTTAAAAAAGATTTTTGGGAGCAGTGCAACCCCCGCCACTAAATGTGCAGATATAAATAAAATTTTATGAATCCACCACTGAACATAAGAGTAAATTTTCCCATAATATAAATAGCAATCTTCATATAAGAAAAAGGTAATGAAGCTGCAATCAATAAAGCATCAAACATACTGCCCTTCAAGTCAATTACAAGATACATGTTTTTCGTCGCCATACTTTTCTACGCTGTTAGCTGAAATGGACTGTTTTAAAATGTTCAAATGTAATTTTTATTTTATTTTATTTTTCCTTTTGCTTCTTTGACCAGCGATACAAAGATATTATGACATACTGTTAGCGCCAACGGAAATCATAACATCTTATGCAATTTGAGACCCACTTTAAATTTTTTATTTTTTTTTCTTTTTCTTATAGAAGACCTACTTTAAATTTTTTTTTTTTCTTATTCTCTCTCCTCTTTCTTTCTTTATGAATGTAAAAAAATTATTTTTATCGTATGCAATATAAGCAAAATAATTCCCATAAATTATAGGGAATTCCAATTTATTTATTTCTTATAAAAAAATAAATAATAAGGGCTCAAATTTTGATGCCTCGTAATAAGGTAATGCTTTCTCGAGTAAAAGAAAAAAACATTGCCATTCAAAACTAACGGTGTTGGAGAATTATAAGTAAAAATAAACAGAAAAAGAGGTAGTTAGGTAGAATATCCTATCCCATAAAATATATTTAAAAAAATGTAGATCGACATAAATTTGACACGACACGACATGCGACATGAATTTTTTGCGGGTCATTTTTTCTAACACTGACACGACACAATTTTTTTTACAAATCAACCCAAACACGAATTTTCATATCATGTCGTAGATCGAACTGCGTGTCATAACATATTTTGACACCCCTACTACACTCTTCTTCCCTTCTCAAACTATATTTCGGGTCAATATATCCCAATTTATCTGTAAAATGAGGATAATGATTTATTTTAATAAAAGGACAACTGATCAAATATATTTATATTTTTCTATAATTATAGTCATTCAATCCTTAGAATGTTATCTTAGCATGTATAACTGATAGTGATATTAATAGCATATATCATTCAAATTGGAAGCTGAGATGTGGGTGTATTAAAGGGATTAGAATTGGTTTGGTCCTTTGGACACTGAAAAATAATTTTGGAAGAAGATTGCTTGAGTTAATTTTCATGCTGATCATTCATAGTGATGATACTAGACGATCAAGCTTGTTGACCAGACTAGTTTGGTTGGTGAATGAATGATTAGCAAGAAAATTAGTTTTACATTAAAGGAAGGCAACTGTTGTGCATATTAATTTAGTTGGTGAATGGAGACAGGATATTGTTCATTGCATGCCCACGGAGTTGCTTATCTCATTAATTACTTTAAATTTATCTTGTATTTTGTCAATTTCTATTTAGTTTTGCTGCTTTTGCTGGGGGATACCCTCTTAATGTTATTAAAAAAAAAAATCATTCAAGTTGAAAGGAGTAACATTTTTCCAACTGAATTTATAACTCCGTTAGAGCAAATCTAGGGACGCATATTAAGACCATGAATTGGGCATTATTCAAATAAAAATAAAAATAACAAAGAAAACCGATAGCCCTTCTTCACTTGGTTACTATGATTCCGACTACAAGATTTTAAAAAATAATCGTAAGGAGTAGGTAAAGGCCTCAACTACGAATTTTTAGATAAGTAACTCTACCACCGTGTAAGTTTTGCCTATAAAAAGGGCACGCTAGAGATAAGCAACCAAGCACAACAATATCCAAAGAAAAAACCACTAGAACCATTAGAAGCTAATATGGGGGATTCATATTTCACCAATGATCACCTATTTAGAACTTCCTCTGAACAAACAGAGGACCGTGCTTGTCTCTCTGCTATGCTTCTCAGTACTAATCTTGTGTATCCTGCAGTCCTCAATGCTGCTATTGAACTCAACTTGTTTGATATCATAGCTAAAGCAACCCCACCTGGTTCATTCATATCACCCTCTGAAATTGCTTCTAAGCTCCCAACCCAACATTCTGACTTGCCTAATAGACTTGACCGCATGCTTCGTTTGCTTTCCAGTTACTCTCTTCTTACTTGTTCCACTCGCACCACTCCTCATGGTTCCTCTGAGAGAGTTTATGCTCTCTCACAAGTTGGAAAATACTTTGCCTCTGATGAAAGTAGGGGCTACTTGGCTTCATTCACCACATTTGTCTGTTATCCATCACTGTTACAAGTTTGGTAAGTGATTTTAGTCCCTATACGTACATATATAATATGGTGGATTGCATATATGTATATAAATGTTGCCTTCAAAAGAAATAATCTTACTTTGCTCCATTGGTCTTAATTTCTTTTTAGGCTGAACTTCAAGGAAGCAGTGGTTGATGAAGACATTGACCTGTTCAAGAAAATTCATGGAATAACAAAGTACGAGTACATGGAAAAGGATCCTAAAATGAACCACATTTTTAACAAGTCAATGGCAGATGTGTGTGCAACAGAGATGAAAAGAATGCTTGAAATATATAATGGGTTTGAGGGAATATCAACATTGGTTGACGTTGGAGGTGGAACTGGACAAAATCTCAAAATGATAATCTCCAAGTACCCTTTAATAAAGGGAATCAATTTTGATCTGCCCCAAGTGATTGAAAATGCACCATTGCTTCCAGGTAGTCTAATATATTATGTTTTATCACATATCAAGATACCAAATGATATAAGCATACTTCTACTTTCAGTATTTTACTTTGTCAAAATTTTTAATCAAGAAACTGCCAAATTTTGTTAAGGGATTGAGCATGTTGGAGGAGATATGTTTGCAAGAGTTCCACAGGGTGACGCCATAATGCTAAAGGTTAGTATACATAGTAAATACCTATATATCTAATAACTGATTACTTGAGACTTGATAGATATATGTATCTAATCTCATTGTTATTGTTAAGGTGCTAATTAACTACTATCTCATTCTGTCCTTTGTGACATTGTTATAGGCTGTATGCCACAATTGGTCAGATGAAAAATGCATAGAACTTTTAAGTAATTGTCATAAAGCATTGCCACCAAACGGGAAGGTGATTGTTGTGGAGTTCATATTGCCAGAAGAACCAGAACCAACTGAAGAATCCAAGCTTGTTTCCACTCTCGACAACCTCATGTTTATCACTGTTGGTGGAAGGGAAAGAACTGAGAAACAATATGAGAATTTGGGCAAGCTTTCTGGATTTTCAAAATTTCATGTTGCTTGTCGCGCTTTCTCGAGTTTGGGAGTGATGGAATTTTATAATTAATCAACTTCAACTTAGAATTTTATGATAAAAGCATTAAAAGTAAAGTGATAATAAGTACCTTATGCGAGGTCGAGGTTACAACTTTCAAGTTTCTTGTTGAACTTTCTGCTTTGATGTGATGTAATGTTTATGCATATTAAAATAATTTGAGTTTATTACTTTCTTTTTTGTTGAAAAAGTTTAATTTCGGTTGAGGTACAGGAGTTAAATTATTCCATAAGCTTATATATAGTGTACATGCTAAATCTATACAAAACTTTTGTCACGTGCAATGAATGAAATTTCATGCAACAAGCATGAATAAGAATTGGAAGTAATAAATTGGCTGGCAGGAGAAATAAGGTTTTCATATTCCAACTCCATGGTTTAGAATTAGAAATAAAATGGCTTGAGAAATGACTTCTTTAATGTTTAGTATAATGACCCTAACTGGTAAATCTTAGTTAGAGATTTAATTTAAGGATTTAAATGCCATAATTAGATTCAGTGAGCGATTTCGAGTATTTTGACTGTAATCATGACTATGTTATGAACAGTGCGTTCTGCCGGAGAATTTACAGTTTTGTGAATTAACCGGTAGAGCTTAAAATGAGCAAAATAATTTTAGGAATATAATTTGAAAATTCTGATGACAAATATGAGTTCAGAACGAAAAATTGTATAGTCTGGCACTTTCCGTGAAAATCTCGTGAATAGTGTTTCTACCGGGTATTTTGTACTGCTGTTTAAGCAACCGGTAGAGTCCAGAAATAAATAATTGATGAAATAAGAATAAGAAAGTCCAATATATGCCAAGCAAGTCAATATAGGCCCAAGAAAATGATAAGTTTATAAGTGTTAAGTTTTAAAAAGTAAATAAAGTACAATTAGTGATTCACAGTGCATTTTGTCAAAAACGGTGCAGAAACCATACTGTGAATTATGAATATTGTTTTGTAACAGATAAAAATTAATGTAAATGATTTTAGAAAAATAAAAATATGTTCGTAGTTTTAAGTTAGTTCCGGGTCAATTTAAGTTAAAATACGCGATAGAAAAACATCTGTTAAAAAAGGCCACATGTGCTAGCCTTATAAGTGACTTAGTCTCATTATCCCAATCAGTTTCTCTCTCCTCTCACCCTCTCAAAACCGAGCTGCACCATTGGAGAAGGGGGGTAGGGTTTTGAATTTCTTCTCCTTGATTCTCCATCATTTCTACTCCAAATTCAAAGACCCACCACATGAAATTGCTTGTAAAACACCCAATGAACCCATTCCAACCATCAATTTGAGGTTTTGTTGAGTGTGTGAAGAGTTATTCCTCCTCTCATTTTCGAGTTACTATTCATTGGAGGAGAAAAAGTGAGTTTTTGATGGAGCTTGGCTTGGAGATTGCTCTCTAGGCTTTGTACAAGTGTTTAGAGGTAAGAAACCTCTATTTCCATGATATTATTTTGATGATTTAAGTTATGAAATATATGAGCATGTTGTGAGTGGGGAATAATTGATGTTAGAATGTGAAATTTATGATAGATTATTGTTGTTTAGGAAGTTATAGTGTTGAGTAAGCATCCACATGTGATATAAAAATTTAAAAGCCCTATTGCATTTTCCTCCTAGGTTTCGGCCATCATGGAGTGAGTAGGAGTTATTGTGGAAAAATTATATTATGTATTGTGAAGGTATAGTGTGTTGGAAATGAGTGAAAATGGATGAGTTAGTAAGAATGCCTAAGTAAAAAGGACTTGGTGTCTAAACTCAAAATAGGAATTTAGTGGAAGCATTCCTAGGTGTTTGCAAGTTGTAATGAAGTAACGAAAATGTATTGTAAAAGAGAAGGATCTTTGGAAATTCCCCTTATAGGATTCGACCTATAGGGTATTTAGGGATATATTTTGTACATTTTATTTTAAATAAAATGTGTTGTAATAAATTGTATAAAAGTGATGAGTTTTGAAGAAAAGTAGCATGATTTATGTTGAAAATTCCTAAGGGAATGGTTGATTAAATTAAAGAACACCAACGGTTACAAAGGGGTCTAGACTTGTGTATTGGCATAGGATTGGCAAAATTGCAAAGAAAGGAAAATAAGCGATAAAATGTATGCTTATGAAATAATTATGGTATTGCATCATTTTATTGATGCATTGTAAATTATTCTCTAGGTGTGCCTAGGTATTGAGAAGGATCGGAAATCTCTTGAAGTGATAAAAGTAACTTGTTCCACAAGTAAGCGTATTGGTAAAGCTTCAAGAGGTAAGCTCTATGTTTAAGGAGTCTTTTCCTGCTTGAGTGCTCCACCATGGTTAGTGAACTATGGTTGGACTGTATGACTGTGATTTAGATGCTTTGTATAGATGCATTCATATAGAGTTATTTGATAACATGATATGTTTTGCTCTGATATGACTTCTGTAATTTGATTTCTGTAACAATCTCTGGCCATTGATTGTATAGTACCCGGACGTCCGCTTTGGGGTCCTCCCTCGGGACTGATGGTGTACTCCTCTGATATGTCTGGTTCCGCTTTGGGGTCCTCCCTCGGGAACACGTGCGTTGATTTCCGCTTGGGGTCCTCCCTTGGGAATGACGGCGCACATCTCTGATATGATATGGATATATGCTCTGTTCTGTTATGATATCTGTTATATGTTGTATTCGTATACTTTGTATCTGGCTTTCATGCAGGAGTGAGCCAGGGGTATGGAGAATTCTCTATAAACCTGGAGCTTATTGAGATTTGTAATCTCACCCCTCTTTGGGGACACATTTTCAGGTGCCCAGATTTCCGGTGAGTCCTCACTAGGCAGGGACACGACACGTGGCTGAGGCAGTTGACAGACCGGATTTTGAGTGGCTGTAGGCTACTACCTTTTTGGAGTGTTTGATGTATTTTAGTATTTTCGCATTTGATGGATCATGATATTGATCCTTTATTTTGTATATGGCCTGTATATGTTTTGTACATGTCTGTCAGTTTGATGCATGTACATTTGAGTATTCAGGAACGTTATATGATGATGTAGTATTCAGATAGGTTTATGTTTTGATGGCATGCTGTTAGATTTAGTGGCACGGAGCCATGTTATGCATGCGCCCATGTATGGGTATTTGATTATATTTGGATATCTGGTATTTCTGAATTGATATGTTGTATAAACTGTTTATCAGGAAATGCTTCTGAGTGGGATTGGAAAATCCCCAGTTGTCCGATTTATAGAGGAAACTCTGCCCGATTTTCGTTTACGCCGAGTAAGAATTAAGTTAGAAAAAGTTAGCTCATATTTTTGTAAGTTAAGTCTTCCGTTGTTTCTGTTTATATCATGTGTATGTTAATTGAACCGGCTCGAGACGGGGATGTTACATTTATGGTATCAGAGTAGTTTCTCTAGGAGAGCCTGTGAAATATTGCATGAACTGTTCGGGTTGTTATATTCTTGAGTTTTCTTGGAGTACTATGATATGCATGTCTGATCACCGAGTGTGAGCGTAGCTAACTCATTCCTTTGTGTGAAATATGCAGAATTATGGTTCGCCCAAGAAGGACTTCTGATCCTCCTATTGACCCGACCGATCCAATATTAGCAGATTTGGCAAGACCCCGACTAAACCAGCGGGGAAATACTTCACAGCCAGATCCAATGATAATGGCCTTAACTGAGATGCGACAAAATATGGCTGCAGCTAGGCAGCGAGAGCTAGAAGTGATGATGAAAGCAAATCAAGATCTGTTAGAGGCTAATAGGTTGGCCAATCAAGAAATGATGGCAGCAAGCAGAATGGCGAATATTGAAATGATGAGATTACTCTTGGTTGGGGTGAGGGCGGGTGGGCAAGGTCCACAGCCACAGCCTTTGCAACAGCCACAGCCTGAGCCTCAACCACAACAGCCTGTTCCTCCTCCTCATAATCCCATTGTTGTGGAGGGTGAAGGAAATAATGATGTGAATGAAGAATCTAGTCACAGGGGTGGTGTGGCACAACCAGCCACTAATAGAGAGCAAAGAGAAAGAATGCTAAATGCCTTCCGAAAACATGCACCACCAAATTATAAAGGAGGCATTGATCCTATTGCTGCAATCCAGTGGTTAGAAGAATTGGATCGCATTTTTACTGTCATGGAGTGTGATGATCAGCAGAAATTGTTGTATGCTTCTTATATGTTGCAGAATGATGCAGCTGATTGGTGGAGAAATACCCGTCTGCCCTTGGAATGTCAGGGTTATGCTATTACCTGGCCTTTATTTGAAAGGCAATTCTTGCTGAAATACTTTCCGGCTGAAGCCCGGATAAGGAAGAAGGGTGAATTTGAAGAACTAAAGCAGGGTCAGATGTCTATTGATGAATACTTGAATAAGTTCAATAAGCTGGCCAAATACTCTCATTTCCAGAGAGCTCCACCTATAGAAGATGACTTGATTTTTAAATTTCATAGAGGATTACATGATAACATCTCTGAAAAACTTGCAGGTGACTCATTTGATACTTTTGCTGCACTTGTTAAAAAGTGTAAAAATATTCAAGAATATTACAGAAGGAAGCATAAGGACCAATCTGCTCCTAATTCTGGTCCTAAAAACACCTCTGGGAATTCTAAAGGAAAAGGGTTGCAGGTTAGACAGTCTGATGGTAAGTTCAAAAAGGCGGGAAATTCTAAGCCTGGAAATATTAAGCCTGCTTCTCTATGTGCTACATGTGGTAAAGTTCATGCAGGGGTTTGCAGAAAAGAGCAAAGACTGTGTTACAAATGTGGCCAACATGGGCATTTTATTAGGGACTGCCTCTTTAATGGGGGACAGGTTTCTACTATTCAGGCCACTCCGGCTCCTATTGTGGTTGAGGAACCATCTCTACCTCTCCCACCTCCAGTTTCCCGAGTATATGTAGTGACTCAGCAAGAGGCTGAGAGGTCAGCTAGTTTGGTGCGAGGTATGATTTCTATTCGTGATGAAATGCTTAGTGTTTTGTTTGATTCTGGTGCCACGCATTCTTTTATTGCTGATTATGTAGCTGAAGCAT